AGGTTTGACGTTGAATAGTTCATGGCATCCATCAGTCCCTTTCCCCTGTCCAGATGTCATGATAAGCTAGGAAAAAAAGTTTGAGATTGAGTACAAAAGGTTAAAATGTTAACACGGTTGACTGTGTGTCTTGATATACTAATACGAGATTGTTGTTATTTTATAAGATAAAATTTTATATTATGTAAATTAATAAAATTTTATTTATAAACAGATAACTATAATTTTGCATATAATATTTTTATTTTATTATTATTTTTACTACAAAATGATTTATTTTATATAATAACTTAAACAAACTCTCATAATATGTGCATTACATTATTACGAACAAACTGAAAGTGATAATTACACCCTTGTAAGGAATAGCTTGTCACAAGGTTTACCTTAACACATTTTTGATATATAATATTATATTTTTTTATCATATCAAAAGATTTATTTTACATTAGACTCATTCTTTTTATAGAAAATATTTATCAAAACATGGTATTTTAAAAAAATTAAAAAAATATTAAAAATTTAAAATTTGTTGATATTAATTTTTGATACTTTTAAAATATTTTATTATCATTGAACGAATTTTAAATTTTAAAAAAAGTCATCATACTTTATAATTTTTTCACTATTTTATCTTTAATTTTTATATAACACTAAAAATCACCATTCATAATTTTAAATTCTATATTTTTATGATTTTTTAAAATGTCATATTTTAGTATATATTATTTTTAAATATCATATATGTAAAAATTGATTCCATTACTATCTTCTTTTCTATATTTTATTTTAATGTACAGAAAAAAATCCAAAACATTTTGCGATTACACTTTCTCCGTTCATTATCACCATAGTCTAGTTATATGGTGTCCTTAAAAATCAAGGAAAACGATCACAGTATTTCAATATACGATATTATAATTATCTAAACTTTAATTCATGTCTTAACCTGCATCAGTATGCTTGAGATATTAATAAAAATAAATAAAAATCAGACCCTTTACACACGCGTGTGTGTATATATATATATATATATATATATATATATATATGTAATTCTAATACTTAAGTATTTCAACTAATCAAACTTCATAATTTGTTCATTGTATTTTTTATTTAAATGTGGAAGCAACTGCAACTATCTATTGTCAGATTAACAGGCAAGTAGACATTATTTTTTGGTGAGGAATGTATGCTACTATCATAATACTTGTCATATACAAATAAAGTTGCAGCAATGTAATGTTTGAACTGTAACGCACTTGTCCGGGACAAGTGGGCTCTGCTGCATAACGCTTATCCAATCTCTCCAACAGCTTCAAGGCCAATATTTTAAAGTGAGTGTTATGTATGCATAAGCACCTTAAAAAATATATAGTAGATTTCCAACATGGAGACATGAAAATTTTAATAAAATGTTAAAATAATAGTATAATAATGTTATAATATGGCTTTTCATATATTCTATACAAATGAATCAAAGTGAAAGGAGGAGACAGAGACTTTCTAACTTCCATTTCAATTATTAACAAGTGTGAGGCGCCGCTTGCACATATGATGATATCGTTGCACTTGCACATTTTCGTATTTTCCCATTCCTAGTATTATGCACCACAAAAGGAGTAGGGAAGAGAAGCAATGCATTTACCCTTTTCTCTTTAATATCTTGTAACACTCTAAAAACCTTTACCTTTCGCTTTGGTGCAAATCTCAAAATGGGTCGCCCACCATGAAAATGGTATAACTGCCCTGCAATTGGAAAAGAAAAAAAGGGGAAAGATTTTCTTGGGAAATTCCATGTGAGGATTTGTTCGTGCTTTAAGAAGAATACTAAACAAACACAGCCTGCAAATGTCTTGTCATTGCCTTGCTTCGACTCCCAAACTCACTCCGTCCAAATATTTAGATAGTGAAACTATAGTTGAACATTGATCTTGAGTTTTTTTTTATATGAATTAGATAAAAAGAAAGAAATGTGTGATAAAATAGGTGATGTAATAGATAAAAGAAAATGAGACGTTATAAGAACTCTTTAAAAGCTATTCGAGTCTATGCAGAGTTGACTAATGTCCTGTTTTGGTGTAGAGTTTTGTTAAGATTAAAATGTTTTTGCTTTAAACAATTAGCATAGGTAACAGCTTCAACTACTTCGCAATTATTGAAACAATTTAACCTGTCAAAAAAAAAAAATAGTTTTAGCAATTTATCCAGTTCTCTTGTCGGTAGTTCTCTGTATAGAATTAGTGAATAGCTGGTCAATGTAATTAAAAAGAAAAAACCGCTTTCAAGTTTCCTAGTTGTATAAAATCATGACTACCGTTTGTAATATACTCTTCATAATATAATATTTATTATTAATTAAAATTTATTAAAAAATTATATATTTTTATTCTTTATTTATTCTCAAATTAATTGGTTTATATATTTTTTTAAATTTTTAATAAATTTAATTAATAATAGAAAAATATATAAAAAATAATGTATTAGATAATGAATTGTTAGCGTTCATCTTCCCCTCAGATAATTATATCATTTCTTTTTATACGCATAGCATCAAACAAAGCATGTGTTGGACTACGAAAATATTGTATAGCAGATTGTTATAGAAATATAATTCTTAACGGATAGAAAGTCTTATTCACCCTTCTCTGGTACAAGATTAAGGGTATTATCTGTAACATAAATTTCTAAACATTTTTAAAATATTCCTTTTAATTATTTTGTTTATATTTACGTTCAATATTTGTGAAGATTATCGACTTGTAAGTTTTAAAACTAAAGCATATTAGAATTAAAGTTTGAGAAGTAATTTTTTTCATAAAAAAATATACATATAGTTACATTACTTGAGCATGATAATTTTCTTTAATATTTAATAAAAAATTGATCAGATTACTATATATGTTATAGTATTGAGTTTTTAAATATATTCTTAAGGAGATAGATTTTTAAAAGTTTTCTAAATCACAGTGAACTCAAACTTAAAACTATATATTGAGGTAGAACAACAATCCCCAGAAACAATTTCTACGATCTACGTAATCGGTGGTACGAAGTTTCATATTTGAGTCTCATGTGTGATTTATGAAAAATATTATTTAGAAAACTAATTTAATCATACTATTAATATTTATAATTCATACAAAATTATCTTTGGCGAAAATATTTACAGTTTAAACTAATAATAATAATAAAAACCTTTGAAACAATCGGGTCATTAGTCTAGCTGTATCATGTCACTAATGAGAGAGGTCCCATCCTAGAGAAAAATGATAGGGTTAGCTCCAATTAATACTCTACCGAATCCTATATATAAAGAGACCACTTCTGTATGCAGAGTGACAAAGTGGGGTTGCTTTTCAAAATCAACCACGGCATCGTTGGGATTGCTTTGTTCCCGTGTCACCCTACGCGCTCTCCTTAGCAAAAAAGCACAATAACAGTTATGATACAATTATACACAATCTAACGCAAAAGATTTATCATTAGTAGTAATAATTTAGAACTTCGAAAAACACGAAAATAATGGTTTAGTTATGTTGCTGAAAGGTGAGAGGTAGTGAAGGAAGAGAGAGGGAGGTAAATAGTACAGAGAAGATTCAGAGGAGCAGGTTAATGAGCTCATCTCATCCATAGCACGGATAACACTGACATCCCATGAGATGATCACATTTCAATGATTCATTCATTGATACATATTACTTATTACATTCATGACGCAGTAATGTCAACTTTTTGGTTGGCCCCAGATGGTGGGGCTTCCAAGTAAAAACCGCATATATGCGTTCGGATCAGAAATAAGAATCTGAAATAGGAATCAGAACAAGAACAGAACATGAGCATTGCTCAAGGCTCAATGATCTGTCCTCCAGCCAATCCTTGAGGTCAAACTCTCAGCTTTACAGGATGCCATGGCCACTAACCTTGCTAATTCATAATCACAACTAAATGCTTCAACAACACATACCCCCACTAATTAGTGCAAACTAGCAAACGCATCATTGGACATTAGAAATGTGCTCGAAACCACATTGGGTACTTCCAATTCCCCTTCAACCTCAAAGTTATCGCTTTGGTCTTTTCTTGATCCACCCCCTAGTTTTCTTTTTCCATTTTTTACCCTTCGTTTGTGAGAAAGTACACTGCTTGCTTACACATTGATGAATCTATCCTCCCTCAACTGGGGGACCCAGAAGATTTTTTTTCCTTGAAAAAATATATGGAGAAAAAAAAAAACTGTGTACTTTGATTTAATTATATTATTATGATAAGTACTGTATGTATGGACAGTGATGCAAGCATTATGTCATGCTTTAGCTAGCGTTAAAGAATGACTGACACAGACGAACGCTACATTTTCCCCCCCTCTATGAATGAATAGATTACTCGGTTGGTTGCAATAGTAAGCATAACATCGATCATGTCTCAATCACCTACCTTCTATTATGATCCAACACAGAACGACGAATGCCCCAAAAACCAGACACGATACAAGTGGGATCCTCTTCTCCAGTATTTCAATCATACTCATCTTGTGTTTACTTTTCCATGTGCACCCCCAAGCTTCATCAACAATTAAAAAGCAAAACAAATTGCAACCCTCACAAAGTTTTTGCTTTATCCTTTCCTGAAAATTACAAAATTATAACACCCTTATTCGATCAATTATGTACCCCACTAACTAAACAGTGAACACACCCTCAAAATCATGATAACAAAAGCTAAGAAAAAATTGGCAATCTCACCCTAATTCTAGCCGAACTCTTACAAAAAATCAAAACCATCTCGCATTATTTTATTTATTAATTAATTCTCTATTTTCATATGTACACAGAAGCAGAAGCCGAGTTTCTTTTATTAAAAATGAATAGAATAAATTTTTTTTCTTGAAATAAAAAAAAATGGAGTTGGAAATATGTTTAAAGCCTATTATATATATGGATTATAGAAGAAGCTTGAGATTAAAACAAAAGATATTGAAGAAAGAACAAACGTTAAAGTTACATATCAGTTGGTGACTCAGAAATGCTCTCCAAGTGAGGCCTCCAAACAGCAACACGTCCTCTTCGTCTATCTCTCTGCGTAGAAAGCTTCTCAGAGAGTATATCAGTCAAATAGCGATCAGAAGAGACGAGCAAGTTGGCCATAGAAATGGTGTTGTTGTTACTGTTGTTGGTGTTGCTACGGTGGTGGGTGTTGTTAGTTCTCTCACTTTGATGATCCTTCCGTTTCTTCTTGCGGTGGTTCTTCTCTGACGGCGGCGAAGGGAGGGGCATGAGGAAGTAAATCTTGCCACGTTGGAGCTCTGCGTCGGGTGGGACAACAACGATCTTCGGAACGACGCCGTCTTGGGTGGAGGGTGAGGATGGCTTTTTGAGCACGTGCTTTGGGTGTGCCTTCATGATGTCACTAGCCTTGATGCTTCCACTGAGTTCCTCTACGCGCCCGTTTGAGTGCACTATGCGGATTACGTCCAGTGCTCCGCATGGGAGAATGCAAGAGATGCAACACCTTATGCTGTTCCTCATCGCTTCTTCTTCTCTCTCTTTTCCCGTTGGTTTCTCAATTCTCATAAAGATAAAAGAAGAGGAGAAGAAGTTGTACAAGCTAGAAAGAGTGAATATATGGAGAGAAGGTGGTGGCTGGATAGAGAAGGAGGGAGGAGAAGGGGAGAGGGAGAGGGAGAGAGAGAGAGAATGATTTTCACACTGTGTGTTTTAAAGTTTTAATTCTATGTTTTAGTTAATGGAGTGGGAATCAGTCACATAAAAGAATATTGTACCAAATGATGCATCCCCCCCCCCCCTCCTTTATCTCAAACTTTTTTTATAAAAAAAATATATTATAATAAATATTTAAAATTTAGTTTGACAATACAAAAATAATAAATTTTATTCAAAGAATATATTTATCATACTTTTTATAATTTTAAAATAATAAATGCATTTTTTAGTAGAACTTTACTATTTTAAGTGTTTAAACTGAATTTTAAAAGTTAAAATTAACAAAGCTTTTTTTATATGCATACTATTTATTTTTTGTGTACTTTTGAATGGATGGGGGGAATATTTATTCCGTGCTAGCTAGGTGTGGGATGAAATTCATGGTATGAATAATTGCACAACACTCTGTGGTTTGGCTTTTGATCCATTATTTAGGGTCCCTCAATCTCACCCCCCTGACCTCACACACCCACACAGTACCTTTCCTATTGTGAGTTCAATAGTATTAGGTTAGGAATGGAAGGTTGGTATACTCATAAGCGACACATGGTATAGTGAATGATGGGGACTGCCTAGCAAGCAAAAACTTAGAACCTTTTGACAGGGCCATGACTGGATGTGCGTGTATCAATCAAAGATTGACACTTGTCGGCCAATAATGAATATTTACACTAAGTTTAGGTGAGGAGGCTAGTGGTGTAGGGCCAATGAGAGAGAGAGAGTATATATGTTTGGAGGGGAGTGGGAGAGGGGGCTGGAAAATGGGGTAAATAGGTGAGGAGAGGAGATCTTCTTTTGAGAGCGGTTTGTGATCTTTCAATTTCCCCGAGCAAGATCATGTGGTTTGTGGTTTTCATCGGAAAGTGAAGTGTTATAGACTTCGCACTTTATCTCTTATGGTTTTTAGGTTAGTGAAGTGCTTTGACTAACCCAAAGGTGTTTTGTCTACTACCCTAATCGCCAAAATCAACTCTACTTCACATGCTCTTTCAAATCCCTTTCACATTCTTTCTTTTCACCCATCGGATTAATTTATTATTTTCCGCATAATTTTAATACCATCCAAAGAATTTGTTTCACATATATTTGCTATCCTTCTACTCATTATTTACATGTAGTTGATGACCTCTCTAAAGTAATAATAGAGTACTCCATAATTATACATGATAAAAATATTAGTAGTATATTTTATATTCTTATTATTAGAGTTTTTTATTTATATAATCTCCTCATGTAATAATAATAAACAGTGTCAAAATTATATAAAATTGTATTCTTGTTAAATATATATATGAGTGTTATAAAGAATTCTATACCTTACGAGAGATTTGTGTCTTAAATATACATATCCAAGTTACATACAATATTTAGGACTGATAAAATTAAATTATTTAGAATAAGTTAAATATTTTCTGTCTAAATTGTTGGTTTTAAAAATAATTACGAATTAGCACCTCAAGTTATGAAACAAGAGATATTGTCCTTTCAAGTAATTTAGTTCTTGTTTTAGACTAAAAGATATCTTGAGTAATGGCTAAAGATTAGCGGCTTAAGTATATATGTATAGAAATATAGTTTTCACACTTTTTCGAGACAAGTTAGTATTTTTTTAATAAGATTACAAGAGTTAGCATAACAACATAAACAGGCCATAGATATTTTTAAATGTAGAAAATTACTATAACTGATTTTCCTTTTTTAAAAGAGTGTGTTTGGCACAACTTTATAGTTTATTTAAGATCTTATCATTAAATTTTATTAATAAATTAGTAGATTTGTTTATAGTAAAATAAAATAAAATGGAACTTATATTCTTTTAAAAGGAGATTATTTCAGGTTACAGTTTATTTGAAGCTAGTTTTTTTTTTTACCCGTAATCTTGTAAATAATTTATATTCACATAAAATATTTTTAATAATTTGTTAGTCATTTAATACATTTCAATTATTTATACAACTAAGTTTGCTAACATAAGCTATAATGTTTTAGTTAGTTTTAATTATAAGTTACAAGTTATAAGCTTTAATTTTATCAAATAGAGCATTTTTTCAATAAACAGATTTAATTAATTGAGTGAGACTCCATCCTAAAATCCTAGTACTATTGCATTAAATATTTTTTATTAAAAATTTGGGAAAAATATCATAGACTCGAAGATAAAAACAATTCTAAAGAAAAAGCATCACAAACTGAAAGAAAGCATTTGAATATAATTGACGGAGGATATGCATGAGTTTGGGGCGTTGGTATGATTTATGTATAATATCAGGTTGACCTATGGTCCTCAAATTTAATGAGCAACCTAGAAATTTGCCAAGAAAAAGACAAGTAGTTAAAACTGTTTGGATGGTTTAATTTTTGGGTGGTTAGTTTTTTTGTTGTCCCATCCTTGTTGTGGTCCCTCATTTAATAGATATACATGCAGATGTTACATGAAACGTGTGAAGTAAGGAGATGGGGTGGGGGGCCGGGGTTCAAATAAAATATGCTAGCCATTTGACAGAGTTTACTATTTAATTTTTTTTAAAGTTTAATTTTACTTATTTAAGTCATAGATCTAATTTATTTTTTAAATATTTAATTAATTAAATCAATAAATTTAAATTTAATAAAAAATTTATTAAATTTGGTATGATACTTTATTTAAGACTCATAAATATATTAAATAATTTTAAATAAAATATTATATTATATTAAATAAATTAAATTTTAAAATGAATAAAATTTTGAATTAAAACTTTTAATTTTTTATTGGAATTGGAAAGTGCTAATGCTATGTACCATTTAAGAAAGAAAGTGTTGATTTTTTTTTATTAGTATTACTTAATTTATCTTATATGCATAATATTGATATACATTTATGTTTGTTGTATGTTTAATAATTATTTATTTAAATTAAATATGTAATTTAAAAGTAATAAATATAAATATATAATTTTATTATAAATATTTAAAGTGTTGAATATTTTTATAGTTTATTTAAAAATAAGTCTTATAACTTTAATAAAAATATATCTATTTACGTAGTTAATAGTCTATTTATAAAGATGCTTAACAGTTTATTAAAAATCTTTGTGCTAAGTAATTAATTAAAAAAATAATAGATCAAATTAAATTTTTAAAAGATTTAAATTAAATTAAATAAAAAACATAATAAATAATAAATTATATTTATATTTCAAAATTATTAAATAAGTAAGGCTTAATTATTTATACAAAATTTAACTTAATTTATTTTCATTTAAAGTTAATGGTTCAGAAGCTTATATATTCTAAGTGCTTTGAATTAAGAGAAAGATTAATCATGAATTAATAATTAATAATTTTAGGTGTTTTCACTATATAAATTTTATTTTTTTATATAATTAATTTTTGACATAATTAATACCCTGCATGATCAAGTGATTTATATAACAATTATGCTATTCTATATAAATTTTGTTGCACGGATTTTTACAATCAGACAGTAATCAATCTTACAGGTTTGATTGTAGTGTGTTAAAATTAAAAATAAAAATAAAAATCACTAATAGGCTCTCCAAACAGATAAACCAAAGTCAGCTAAGATTGTGCATAACCACAATTTTGTGTATACAAGGTCTTTGCTGATCACTTGCATGTATGCTAGATTATTTATATCAGATATTCTTCAATATATAATGAATACCATCACTCATATTTGTCAACAATTTTCTTTGAAATTCTTTTTAAATGTTTTTCAAACAATTGTGAGAAAGAGAAAAACACAATTTTTTTTTATTAAATGAGTGAAATAGGATTACTATTGCATGAAATATTGGATCAAATATACTTTGGCCTGCATAGCAGAAATGATTGCCAGTTCTTGCTTCTCTAGCCAAATTCCTCAAGGAAAAATTTCAGCTGGATGGTAGAAAGAACTATCATTACAACAGTTCCACGCAAGTTGTAGACATGGACAAAATAATAGACACCAGCATGTATATTATCAATATAATTTCTTCCCGAGGATATGCTTCCATAGTATCAATAAAACATGCATCCCATCAATAATATTATCATCATTATTAAACCCTATTTGAATCTAGGAATAGCCTCATCATGGAGTTTAATTAAGAATTTCCCTTGAATTTCAAAAGGAGAGGAATGGGAGGAAACAAATTATTTCAACCAAAGGTGGTGAATTTGGCTTATTTATTTTTTTAATAACAATTTACTAAAATAATACAAAAACTAAATAATTTTCCTAGGACATTTTTAGCCACGTTAGCAGCAGTTTTGTATTTAACAGAAACAAAACTTAATTTTTTTTACAAATTTCGTTCCATAAAAAGATAAAATTTTAAAATGCTAACACGTGTAATTAGTTTCATCTATAAAAACAACTAAATTTAAAATTTAAAATGATTGTAATTAGTATTTTCCAATTGCCAACTTGTAGTAACACCTGACTTATTCAGGTGAGTTTTATCCTAACACATGATTTCAAATATAAATTAATTCACTACTTCTATCAATATAACTTTAAAATATAAATTAATTTAATAATAAGTAACAAATAGTAACATTTCATACAATTAAAATTGAATAGAAAATTAATATACAAATTTAGTTAAAATATTATTTTTCAAAATCTTTTATATGCTAATTAAAAAAAAGTTATTTTAACATGCATATAATAATTACATTTGTTTAAATAAAAAAATTAACAAAACTAACATGTAAAATTAATCTTAAACATAATATTAAACTTCTTACTAACCAATTATGTCATGTATTATATAAAGAAAGACAAGGGATGGAAGAAGATTTTTGAAAGAACGTAACACCAAGAAAGTCAAGCCAAGGGATGATAAAGAAACTCAAGAGGGAGCTATGGAGGAAGATACACCCCCTAAAGGTGTATCATATAAAGAATCGTTGCTAAAGCCGATTGGTGCCGTTGATGAAACAGAGATGCTCTCTGATAATGATGATGACTTGCCTGAGAATAGATGGTATCGAAAAGATCAAGAACAGGCTAATAACTATGACTTTGATCCCTACCCAGAGATTAAGGTTACTAGAAAAGAGTATGATGAATGGTGCAAGCCTTGGAGACAATCTTTGATAGTAAATCTTTTCGGGAAAAGAGTTAATCCTCGATTCATTGGGAACAAAATCAAGAGGGATTGGGTTCGGCATGGTTCTGTCCAGATTATTGATATAACACATGATTATTTCCTTGTTTCATTTTCTGTGGAAGAGGACTATAATCATGCGTTGTTTGAATCGTCCAGCGATAGAGGCCAATGTTCATGCCAGTGACTCATGGTGTTAGGAAGATTGCGGTGTGGGTGCGCATCCCAAATTTGCCTCAAGAACTCTATACTACCAAGTTCTTGGGACGAATTGGAAATAAGATAGGCACCATGCTCAAAGTGGATCATCTAACTTCTATCCATTCTAAAGGTCGGTTTGCAAGAATATGTGTAGAAATAGACCTTCAATAAAAGTTGGTTCCCAAAGTTAAGGTTCTGGGGCTTGAGTTCCACTTAGAGTATAAGGGACTACATCATATTTGTTTTCAATGTGGTAAATATGGTCACCGAAAGGATTCGTGTAATGAACTTGTTAATGGTTCTATCAGTGAACAAAAACAATTATCCATGGAACTCATGCCAGCAATGACAGCAGACCAAGTCACAGCGGAACAGGGAGTCGCTGACGGAGGTAGAGCTGACGTCAGCGTTCCAATGGCACAATCTAAAAATGGTAAAGAGAGAGAATCTCACGAGAAATCAGGAACCAGAAGATTATACGGATGGCAGGATACCAAGGGAGATTTCGGTCCCTAGATGTTGGTTAAAAAACCCGTTAGAAAAAAAAAGAGAAATTGGTAAGTAATGAAGGGACTTCAATCCCTGTGAGTAAAATCCGCAACACCCAATTTACTATGGCTCAACGATTTAGAGCCTTAATGAATGAAGAGGAAGAGCAGATTTCTGTATGTGAAGTGCATCAAATGGAGGACCATGTGGATGTGGGTGATATTAATGAAGGGCCTCAGCATAATGAAGGCCCAATTAAGGAGAAGAAGAAGTCCACCTCGTTAGAGGCTAAGGTCCCTATAAATTCTGAAGGCAAAAATCCTCAGACCAAAGTTGGGAAAGTCCAACAACCTGTAATTTCTTTAAGGAACCCAAAGAATAAGTCCATACAACATAATTTAATTGTGCAGAAAGATAATCTTTCTTCTAAATGTCAAAGTGATCCTACTGCTTTGGACAAGAAAAAAATCATAATGAAAGAAAAAGAGGCAGGAATGTTATGTGATATGAAAAAGATGGCCCATTATGGGAATAATTTTATAGATAATTTCACTACTCATAATTGTTATCCGAACAAAGAGGAAGTGGATTTTGCTATAAACACTAGGATAAAAAATGATGTTGCATCTGCTATTCTTAAACCTCCAGAGTTAATTAGAAGCAATTGTAGCGGTAGTGAACAGGATATGGTCATTGATAAATCAAGAAGGCCTAAGGATCTGGATGCTCCCATGGTTGATACCACGCTTGGTATGATGAGTGGTTGTGACAACCATTTTTTCCAATAGTCTAAATGAATATTTTATCTTGGAATTGTAAGGGGACTGGTCACAAAGGATTCCCTAGGATATTACAGGACTTGCGTAGATAGCATAATGTGAATTTGATGATCCTTATGGAGACACATACAGGTGGAGACAAAGCAAAAAAATCATTCAAAAGATAGGCTTTGATGAGTTTTTTGTGGTAGATGCGTCTAGTCATGCAGGGAGTATTTGGTGTTTATGGGATACTAATAGCTGGAAGGTTGATGTGATTATCTCTGATGTCCAATTTATTCACATGAAGGTACAATGGCATAATGATGATCCTTGGTTCTTAACTGCGGTGTATGGCAACCCCCAAGCCTTATCAAGACGTGACCTTTGGTATAACTTAAAGAACATTGCCCAATCAGTGTCTTATCAACCTTGGTGCTTGGTTGGTGACTTCAATGCTACTTTGAATAGTTGGGATCGTAAAGGTGGATCGAGGGATACTCAGAATCTTGCTTGCCCTTTATTTCAAGCCTTTATGAGAGATTGTAACATTGTGGATGTTGGCTTTGTTGGCTCCCCCTTTACCTGGAAATATGGTACGTTGTATGAACGTCTTGCTAGAATTATTCTTAACTTGGATTGGAGACTTAGATTTGAGCAGATGTCTGTCTGCCATCTTTCTCCCTTCAAATCTAATAATAACCTGTTGCTTATGGATTTTCATAACTCTGATGGTCTGAATAGAGGTAGACGTCCCTTTCGTTTTGTGGCTGCTTGGCTAACTCATGAGGACCTCCCAAATGTTGTTCGTAATTTATGAAATGAGACATCTCCATGGAATACTAAATTGACTACCCTGTGGGATGGGTTGAGAGATTGGAACCAAAATGTCTTTAGTAATATCTTCAAGCAAAAAAAGGAAATTATGAAGCGACTTGATGGTATATCTAGGAGTCTCTCACAAGGCCCTAATGTATATCTGGAAGGCCTTCAACAAAGGCTTTGGAAGGACTATGAGAAAATCCTATTGCGTGAGGAGCTTCTATGGTTCCAAAAGTCTAGCTGTAAGTGGTTACAATTTGGGGATAAGAATAGTGAATATTTTCATGGGACTACTATAGTGAGACGTAAAAAGAATAAAATTGAAACATCATGCCCTTAACTACTTTCGCTCTCTATACAAGGACGAAAATTCAGCAATTGAGTTTTGCCTCCATGGATGCTTTCCAAGTATGCTTGCTGATCAGTTTGATAGTTTGAATATTGATATTTCTGCTGAAGATATTAAAAAAGCTATATTTTCCATGGGGGTCTCAAAGCTCCTGAAAAGGATGGTTTCCAAGCAATATTCTACCAGAGTCACTGGGAAACTGTGGGTCCTTCTCTATGCTCTTTTATTAAAGGTCTTTATCATAGTCCTAGTGGTATTAGAGATATTAACGAGACTTTCATTACGTTGATTCCTAAGCTGGATATAGTGACTTCTATTAAGCAGTTTCAGCCTAGCCAGTTAAGAAGTATTATGAATCATGTGGTTGGGCAAAGTCAATGAAAGGTAAGAAGGGGTTCATGGCAATCAAAATTGATTTTGAGAAAGCTTATGACAGGCTAAAATGGAGTTTCATAGCAGATACTTTGATTGATGTTGGCATTCCTAAAAAAATGTGTCAGATTATCATGCATTGCATTAGCTCTCCCTCTATGAACTTGCTTTGGAATGGAGAGATGTTGGATCAATTTATTCCTGAAAGTGGTATCCGTCAAGGTGATCCTATCTCCCCCTATATTTTTGTCCTTTGCTTGGAGAGACTTGCCCATCTTATTAATGTGGTGATTGATAATGGATTGTGGAAGCCTATACAGTTGTCCAGAGGTGGTCCTAAAATTACTCATCTTGCCTTTGCGGATGACTTGGTCCTCTTTGTTGAAGTAGGTCTTGATTAGGTTCATTATATCTCTTCTTGTCTTGATATTTTTTGTCAAAGTTCAGGACAAAGCATTAATAAAGATAAAACTATAATTTTTTTCTCTAGGAATGTAAATCATAATATTAGAAATGAAATTAGTTCCTCTTTTGGTTTTTAGAGAACTGATGATTTAGGTAAATAGCTAGGTATTCCTTTATTTCATAAAAGAGTTTCTAGGAATACTTTAAAATTTATTATTGATAAAGCTAACCAAAGGTTGAGTTCCTGGAAGGCAAAGACCCTCTCTTTTGCAGGTAGGTTGACGCTTACTAAATCTATGCTTGGAGCTCTCCCTGCCTATGCGATGCAAACGTACTAGATTCCCAAACAAGTATGTGATGATCTTGATAGAATTAATCGATCTTTTCTCTGGGGAGATTCAGCGGATAAGAGGAAAGTTCACCTGGTGAATTGGTCCACTATTTGTAAGCCAAAGCTCCAAGGAGGCCTCGGATTGCGCCAATCTAGACCTCTAAACATTGCTTTTATGATGAAGATTGGTTGGGGCTTGATCAATCATCCAGAAGATTTATGGGTGAAGGTCCTTCGTAGTAAGTATAAATGTGGCTCAGATCTTATACCCACTATGACTCGAAGGAATGCAGACTCAAATCTTTGGCAGAGCGTTTATGCTAGCTGGAATGATCTCCAAAGTAACATTACTTGGAAGATAGGAAATGGGAGAAGAATCAAGTTTTGGACTGACTCTTGGGTGACCCATGCTGGACCTCTTCTACCCACTGCCACTAATATGCCTGCTAGTAGTGATCTTGAGAAAACTGTTAGTGACTTTATAGACCGAAATGGGCAATGGAATATGGGTCTTCTCAAGCAAGTTATGACCCCTGACAAAATAGCTGCCATGATGCCACCCTTTGATGGAATTGATGACGATTCTATTGCTTGGAAGAATGTCACGACCCCCTTTTTGTAAGGAATCGAGAACATTGTTTCTACATCACATACTTATTTAAGGTAAATAAATAATAGAGAATATAAGTATGGAATTATCTTCTCCTTCAAAATAAAACAAAGTTTCTTACAACAAATATCCAATAAAACAACACAATATTACATTTAGTTCATAATATTCAAAATACCCAAAATTATACTACGTAGCTCCCTCTACACGAGGTCTCAAAATATAAGGAAAAAGGACTTAGATGCAATATTACTCGACTTCAGCTTCTAATATTTCTCCACTGGTCCCTCAGCCTGTGAAGTAGATGCAACACCTGCTACATCTGCTCTGTACCATCGTACGATCATCGCAGTACACACGCACACAACGACATAGAAAGAAATGCAAGGGTAAACTTACAAAAATAAAATAAAATCATATATATAGAGCAAAATATTTCTCACAGCAATAACCTCATGCATTTCCAGCCCATCTAATGCACAGCATGAAAATAGTTTCCAACTGGTTTCACAGCCTAAGTAATTCAGAAGGAACACAGTCGGTTCGGGAGGGACCCATTTCGGTATCTGGATCCAGACTGCACAGCACAGCAGCTCAGCATGAACTTACCGTTACACGTCTACCCACCTAAACATGTAACTCGGCTCTATAATGATGCAAAACATATTTTCAGCATGATGCACACCGCCAAAATTATTGTAACAGCTCAGCTAAGGCAAGTTTATAATAGATCAGCCAAATTATTATAACAGCAATTACAGCTTAGAAAATAGCTTTTATTCAAAAGATCTAACAAAATTCATATCAAAACTTCTTGTAATAATATATCAACTGTCTAAAATATAGATTATAGGATAAAGTAAGCTCCCCTTACCGCAGAATGATGATTCACACTAGATCTACCGAATATTACTTGTTTTATAGCAAGATTCACCGAAGATTTAGCTTTAGAACGGAGTTTCGCCTAAGAACACCATGAACTTCTATGAGAAAGAGAAGAAGAAGAGAAACGAACGGTAAATCTAGCTTCAAACTTAAAGAAACTTACTTCAAAATCCTTCAAAACGGGCCCAAAATCACAGATCTGCAAAGAAATCTAAGTTTAGGAGGGTTTAATATGAGAGAAAATGGTAGTATACGATCTTAGAACCTTTGAGAACCTTGGATAGGGGTGAAGAAATGAAAATTTCATGTGAAGCCCCCTTTTTATAGAAAATTTTTGAAATTTACTGTTCACCGCCGAAATTTACTGTTTACCGCCTTACTGTTCATGTCGGAAACACTGTTTAGGACACTATTCACGCTGAAAAATACTGTACATGTATGTGACGTCAGCAGTCACTGTACATACGCGATTTTTACTGTTCATACACGGTTTGTGCTGTTTATACGCGGTTTTACTATTCACAAGTAGTTTTACTGGTCATTGACACTGTTCATATGGTACTGTTCACTTTTTTTTTTAATAAATTTAATAAATTTCAAAATCCATCTAATTATATTCCAATACCAAATAATCCTTCAATTAACATTTAACAAGTATAAAATATTATAGATTACTTAATAATAAATCACTAGCCTGACAAAGAATACTAATGATGGTTGGTTTACCATTAAGAGTGCTTATGAGTTTGTTGCCAGGACTGATACAAGCATAAGACAGAATAAATTTCGTTTCATTTGGGATTGGAAGGGGCCTCAAAGGATTCGTTGTCTCCTGTGCAAGATCGCTCATAATGCTATTTTGACTAACTTAGCTCGTTTCCAAAGGAACATGGCCTTCTCAGGATTGTGCTCGCTATGCTCTAACATTGATGAATCAATCTTGCATGCCCTGCGAGATTGCGATGAGGTAAAACCGGTTTGGCTTTGATTAATTCCAATTACTAATAGATCTTTTTTTCTTGCAGGTGACTTGGATACTTGGCTTTGTGATAACCTGACACTGGAGGAATGGAGTATTATTTTTGGGATGACTATCTATGAACTTTGGCAAAGGAGAAATGTTTTTGTTTTTGAAGATAAGAAGCATTCTATAGAGAAAACTATATTTGTAATTAGGAATAAAGCTAAGGAGGTTTCTAGTTGTTGTGCAATGAAGACTTTGACAAGAATAACAGTTATAGATGGTAGCCACAATGGAATTAGATGGCGATGCCCACTGGAGGGATGAGTCAAGCTGAATTATGATGGGCCTCTCTATCCTCAAACAAATCTTGCCACATGTGGAGGTGTTCTCAGAGATCAATCGGAGGTCTTTTGCTTTGTGTATGCCTTTAAACTGAGTTCCTACTCAATTCTTCATGCTGAGCTATGGGGTATCCTACATGAATTAGATATTGCCATAAGACGGGGTTATAATCATATTGTGATTAAAACTGTCTCTCTTCTTGCTGTTAAGATTCTCGATAAAGGATGTCGTCCTTGTCACCCATGTGCACCCATGGTTACAAGGATTAGACAAAAAACACATGCTATCACTTGTGTTTGGACTCATATCTACCGTGAAGCTAACTTCGTCGCATATGCCTTAACTAAATATGCCCGTAGATGAATTTTGATTCTAAATTTTTCATGTTGTCCCAGATTTCCTTTATATTCCTTTGTTAGTTGATTCTTCAACAACCTTTTTTTATAGGGAGATGTAGTTGTTTTCCTTGTTTTGGGCTTTAGCCCCTTCTTTTCATTAAAAAAAAAAAAAAAACTTCTTACTAACCCAAAGATTCCTATCATTTTTTTGCAAATTCATTCTCTACAAATCAATCTCACATTTTATACACAATTTTTTTTTAAATAACAAGAGTGTAACAACTTCACTTTAATCAAAAGTAAATATACGTATCAACATCTCATATGTTTCATTTATGATATAGATTAAACTCATAGAATAATGTCACGTTTTAATATTGTATAAATTTTGTTTATTTTTAGACAAAATTTATATTATATTAACATGTTACATAATTTCACATTTTTATTTTTTTTTAAACAAAACTATTGGCTCATAATTAAATTTAAATGTTTCGTTACTATGCCAAATAAAATATGCTTTGGTTGTGAAAAGTGTTATCTGCTTGAAATTTTATCTTCTCTTAAGATAAAATCAGTAAAAAAAAAATTAAATTTTGTTTCTGTAAATACGAAATTGCTATTAACATGGTTAAAAATGTTTCATACACAGAAATAATTTGATTTCTATATTATTTTAAAAAATTTGTTTAAAAAAAAATAAAAAAATAAATAAGCCGTTGAATTTGTGGAAAAAGAAAATTAACATTTCTGTCATGTAAGTTATTAAGTCATACCAACCATCCAACGGTTCATTTAGTAACTCTCCTAATGATGCTTCTTTGGAACAGCCACAACCTACTCAGAAGTCTTATTCCATGTGTCATGTCATTTTGTAGAAACCATTTCATGTATTAGTTTATCAACAACTTTGAATTATATAATAATAAAAAATTGAGAAATGAGTTCAGCTAGCTCTTATTCTTCCTCAGGCGATTATTCCTTATATGGCTTATGACTCATGTAGATTCCTTATAATTTTTACTGACTTTTAAAAGAGACAATTAAGTACATTTTTTTTGTACAATTGTTTTGCATAAAAGTCATTTTATGATGTTTCTAAAAATAAAAATTATTGGTAAATATTGTGTAGGCTTTTAATAAATGATTCTTCACAGTTACTTATAAATATTATTCAAATGTTTTTTAATTACATAGAGAAAATAATAAAAACATTTGTGTCTTTCTGGAGAGTAACAAATATTCTGGACAAGAATTCGTTTCACAATTCTAATGAGAGTCGACAAAACTCAACCAATTTTTTGGGGAAGAACAAAAAAAAACTTTTTCATCCCAGCGAAGGTATAGTCAGGCTCTTTCAACATGAAATTAATCATTGTTCATTTGTCTAAAGGAGTGTCCAGGACCATAATGTAATGCTATATCAACTAAACTAATTATGTAATAATCGATTATACTGCACGTAAAGTCGGCTTGCATAAAATGTTAATAAAATAACTAAACTAATTATGTAATAATCTATTTTAGCTTCTATCAACGAACCAGTAATTAAGAACCAAATACTTTAAAAAAAAAAAAGAAGAAGAACAATAGCAGTGGATGAAAATTGAAAAGGAAGGGAAAAATTTTGGAGCCCCATAAAGGGGGGCCAGTGCACAATTATTGATTGGGAAATCAGTCATTTGTCAATCTCAAGAAATAGTCTTCCAATTTTCCAAAAGGACATTTGTAGAGTTTAGTATTTTGGAGTGCAAATAAACTTAGAGCATTATTAATGAGGCTGATTAGAAAGGCTCCAAATCCAGCTAGCTGAATCCAATCAAAGTCTTTCAGAAATTAAGGTATTGTGCTTAATTGGGTGCCCCACAAGCAGCTGCTGACAAATTAACCACTTTTTATTTTATGGTCAGCTGCTCTTGAATTCATAAAGGTTAGAAAAACATAAAAAACCAGTCAAATTATTGTATATAAATGTGTTTATATAAAGAACAAACTACCAAGAGAAAATAATAAGAAAAAAAGGACAAAAAAATGCAACAACCGGAACACGGTGACAGATACATCATTTTTATCTTCTAACACATTCAAATTCAAATTCTCTATTCAGGTGAAATCTTCAATTATCCTCAAGATAAAACTTGTTAAGAAATGTCACAGCACTGGCATTCAAACACATTGGAACCGTTATTTATAACAACGATTAAAAGGATATAGATTAGAGGGGCAGGGATTGTGACTTTGAGCATATCAACACCAGTTTTGACACCCTCTTCCTCTTTTCAGCCATTTTCACTAGCTTCTCAATTAAATTCTTCAATTAACTCCTGATATTGAGATATTGGAATGCTTGAGACCACAAAAGAAAAAACAACGGGGTGGATATAACACAAGGGTCATGTCAGATTGGCCCTAGACTTAAATGTTGATCAAGTTCTGCTATTTTTATTATTCCCTTTAGCACAAAATGGCAGATGTTGAAAATAACATAGAAAGGAGAGAAGGGGAAAAAAGTTTACTTTGTTTTCCAAACAGTTTGGTTTTAATCCAACATTAATTCGAAGTGGTCCTTAAATTAGTTGGATAGACATTGCCATCATTTTAAGCATAGACATCAAACAGAAAGTAATCTTATTTTATTTAAGTTATTATAAATTCCTCTGCCAAAATTATTTTATGCTTTATTATTATTATAAGAATTAGTTTACCGCAACAATAACATGGAAGTATGTTTTTTTTAAAACTTATAGTTGTAGTAATATATAAATTGTTATTCATGATATAAAATTGACGAATAAATTGTTGTAATGCAGAAATTACATTGCCCTTTTAGAATATAACTCCACATTACAGTCATATTAATTGGGAACACTCTGATGAAGAATTAGATTTTCTTGGACATTTTTACTTTTTGGTCATGGACGACTTCACTGTCATGTGCCCACATAACCCAGACAGAAAATTTCTTTACATGCATGCTTATTTTGGCATTTTGTTTTCAAATTAACCCTAAAAGAGCAAAAAAGCCTATAAACTACGTTTGCTATCATTTCGCTTTAAAATAATTATCTTATTGAACTTAACATTACACTTTTGCACAAAACCCTAAATCAACAAATATGAGTTTTTAATATCTTGTTCTAACTTAACAAATCCTTTACTAAGAACTCCATCACTCACACGTTAATATATTCCTCAAGTGAAACTAAAACACTAACCATCATTCTTCAAATATTTCACTTAGTGTAATAAAGTTAAATCAATGGTACAATCAATTCCGCAGCATCCTTACAATGTTACATCATTTTGTCTTAAAATATGTCTTAATAAATTAAGATAGATGAATATTTATAAGTTATCCTCGAGTGAAACTTAAACACCAAATATCCTTCTTCAAATATTTCACTTAGGGTAACAAAATTAAATCAATATTACAATCAAGTCCCCAACATCGTTACAATGCCACATTATTTTATCTTTAAAAAATATCTTAACAAATTAACAGAGATGAACCTTTATAAGTTATCCTTGTGAGACTTCAAAAGGTACAACAAAAATAACCCAAGTGCAGCCTAAAGAGTTGAGGCATTATGGCCCATGTTAGTTCGAAGTTTTGAATAGAATTCTCCAAGTAAATTGTATAATTATTTGAAACAAAGTATTTTTAGACACAAATAAATATGTTCATGTAAAATAAAATGAATTCACACAAGTGATAAAATAGATATCCATTCAAATAATTTATACTGATAAATAGGTAAATTTAGTTTATGTGATCCATTTTAAAATAGAGTGTGAATGTAATTGCAAATCACGTTGTAAGGTATTTTTTAAAATATGCTAACTTGATACATATTTAACGGTATAATAATAAGCATTAAGATTTGTTAATCTTAGGTGTCAAATTTAAATACTCAACTTTTCCTGTAATATTAAATTGATCAATCAAATTATTAAATTATTTTATATTATCTTCTTGATTAATATATATTAAATTTTATATAATTTGAACATTCATACGTATCTTAAAATTTGATATTAACAGATATTTTTAAAATATATTATCTGTTGAAATAAAATAATATGATAAAACACATAATAATTTTATTTTCTATATAAAATTTTAAAATGTTAATATATTTGATAAGAACTTTCAAATCAATCATTATATTAGTTAATTTTGAATTTTATAAAAAAATTATTAAATAATATAAGTGTCCAAATTTAATACACTATCTACAAATCCTGAGTTAATTAGAGTAAAATGGAAAAATGTATGTAACAAATTCTTGACATAACATGAGGAGATCAATTTTAAAAACTAAACAAAAAAGACAGAGAAATACGAACATTTTTTTCAGTCCTCGCTTGAAGCTTTTCTGAGCATGAACGCAAGGCCCAATCTACGATTGGCAATCAACATTCAAAAGCTCAATTTCGTGCTGGATTGCGTTGTTGATCTTACAAGAAAACCACGGGCTGACAAAAATGGGCCTACATTTGTTGGACACCTGGTTTGTTGTTCACAGTTCATTGCATAGCCTAAACAAAACACCAATCACTCAGCCTAAAACAATTCAGTATATGAATTTTTAATATATGATATTTTTTTTTTAAAATAAATAATTAAGAAACTGGAAAACGTAGAAGGAGAGGTTGAACGGATGAACTAGCTCTGAATAATTGCAGCTTGTCCATTTGGATGTTGTGAGCTTCTTCCCAATCATCACACCCTAAATCTAATCCCCAAATTTATCAAACAAATACCAAATTGAACTATCAAATTCATTTCTTATCAGTTATCACTCACTAACACTCTTCACTGTTTTACTTAACCAAGCCGCTTAACCATGCCGGTTTTCAAAACCCCATTTAACGGTTACTCCGTCAAGTTCAGCCCCTTCTACGAGAACCGCCTCGCCGTCGCCACCGCTCAGAACTTCGGCATCCTCGGCAATGGCCGTCTACACGTTCTCGACCTCTCTCCGGACCCCTCCCTCCCTATCACCGAACTCGTCGCCTACGACACCGCCGACGGCGTCTACGACGTCACCTGGTCCGAATCTCACGACTCTATCGTAGTCGCCGCCGTGGCCGACGGCTCCGTCAAACTCTACGACCTGGCACTCCCTCCCACCTCGAACCCTATACGGTCCTTCCACGAACACACGCGCGAGGTGCACTCCGTGGATTACAACCCCGTTCGCCGCGACTCCTTCCTCTCTTCCTCTTGGGACGACACAGTCAAGCTCTGGACCCTTGATCGTCCCACCAGCGTTCGAACCTTCAAGGAACACGCCTACTGCGTTTACTCCTCCATCTGGAACCCTCGCCACGCCGATGTCTTCGCCTCCGCTTCCGGAGATTGCACCGTTCGCATCTGGGACGTTCGCGAACCCGGTTCAACCATGATTCTCCCCGCGCACGAGTTCGAGATCTTGGCTTGCGATTGGAATAAGTACGATGATTGTGTTATCGCCACTGCTTCGGTGGATAAGTCTCTGAAGGTGTGGGATGTGAGGAACTATAGGGTTCCTCTGACTGTGCTGAACGGGCACGGGTATGCTGTGAGGAAGGTGAAGTTTTCGCCGCACGTGCGGAATTTGATGGTGTCTTGTTCTTATGATATGACGGTTTGTGTTTGGGATTTCATGGTGGAGGATGCTCTGGTGAGTAGGTATGATCATCACACTGAGTTTGCTGTTGGGGTTGATATGAGTGTGCTTGTGGAGGGTCTCATGGCTAGCACTGGTTGGGATGAGCTTGTTTATGTGTGGCAGCAGGGAACTGACCCCAGGGCACCTTAGAAGAGGGAACAAGGTACATTTCTGTATTGCTGTTTGTATCAGGAATCAGGAGGAACATTTATATACATCCCTTATATTGGTTATCAACAAGGATGTTTGTATTCCGGGAATTTTCTGTTATATTGGTTATCAATAGTGTCTTGTATATTGATTTTGATTAAGTTAATTTTGTTTTTCAGTAAAAGAAAGAATTGTGCTTGCTTCCTTGTCTCTGTGTGTACAGGATTATACTGTTTTTGTTTGCTTGTTTGTTTTTGCATTATTGATCTCCATTAAAAGATGCTTAACTTGTTACTGGAGTTTATAAATGCTGACATCCAAAGTTGTTGTAAACTCGTCAAGTGCCAGTTAACTCAAATTCTAAGCTCTTACAATTTTACTTCATGCCAAAATAATATTTGAAAAGCCACAATAATGAAACAAAACACAGTAAGAAAGTTAAAATCATACTTAATTGGCCAAATCATATAATGACAATGTGATTTCGGTACCCTAATTCCAAATCATGCAACTTGTGGAAAAGGAAGAAAAGTGGTGCCCTAATTCCAAATGCTGTCATTTCAACGAGTAAATGTGATTTCCCTTTTGTTTTGCTGAACTTGTGGAATTGGGCGTAAACTCGCAAGTTTACCCAAATTAATCAAAGTTTACCTAAAAACGTTTACATGCGATTTTACATAATTTCCTTACGGTGTTAACTCTAGAGTTTACGAATTAAAGGACAAATTTAATAACTATGCTGATGCCACTATCAAGTATCAATTGGCTTGCTAGTTCTAGAAATTTAGTGCTCTAGGGAAATTCTTCGGCTTAGCTGCTTCTTAGATCTTTTATGTGTATGCCTTTTGTATTTACATGCTACCAAACTCTGAAATTTCCCACTTTTCCTCTTGGAGTGGACTGGATTTCAGTACTTGGTTGGTCAGGCTACAAATTGTTTCTATTGCTATTTGCTATTGACTTGGATTGGTTTTCTTATTTCTTATTCTTTCATTTCAAACTTCAATTTTTGGGCTTAGATTGTTTAGAACTTTGAATGCAACCTAAATTGAAGAAGATTTGTTGAAAATTTCATAGTGGGGAAGAAGCAAGATGATGAAGTTTAGATGTTCGTAAAATTGGAGCCAAGTCACGCTCATAATGCGTTTTGCATTCTGGATGTCTTACCATTGCGTGCAACTCTAAATTAAATTGTGAGGAACTTTGCTGTTTTTTCCATGGTCCATAATGTGCCCTAGTACGATTGCCTTGGATTATATCTAAAGTGAAAATTTTTATTATTTTTTTCATAGATTAAAAAAATGAATATCAATTGTTTAATAGAACTTATCTGCATTTATACAAGCTTCAAGTAACAGATTACATATATAATTCACTACAGCTACGTGCTCTGGAAGGTTGGAATAGTCTGGTACAATGGTGAATTATCGATGGCAACAGGTGGATATGCATCTTCTCTTAACTATCTATGTTCTTTCTGAAATCTATATCTATAATCAGAATCTGTTTCTTATCATGTTTGAAAAAGGAAATATAAACTCCTTATATCCATACCATATCATATCTCCTATCTGGAATACCAGATAATCAAAATATCTGAATAATGAGCATTCTTAATGAATATGTTGGAGGATGATTGAAATGTATGGTGAATCTTTGGAAAAGAAAAGCAAAGAGGTTTTCTAAATGGCTTTATATACGCTGACACGTTTTGATCTATTTTAGATGAATTGCTAGGGAAGCTAAATTAATGGTTGTGACAGATAGTTTAGGGACACTTTTAGGGCCTGTTTGTATAAGTGTGTAAATGGAGCGGGGTTTCTGATGCACTACAAACAGGCTGTTAATCATTTCAATGATTGAAGGTATTATCTTGTTTAAAAATGGCAATTTTGGGAGAATAAATTGCGAAATAATTATTTTGTAGCTAATTGTATGTATGGATTTGGGATTCTTGATTAGTTCTTCCGATGAGAGTTAAGAAGATTTCAAATAGATATCAAACTGAAAAGCTACAACTTAAAAAGATAATGCAGTTGCTAAACAATTAAGTTTTCTCAAGGGTTCATACATCGGTAAACTTATTTTGTCTTGAAAATATCTTCTAGTCAATTTTCTTTTTGAAACACATTCATCTTTTCCTAATTTAATGAATGAAATCAGTGTTCTTTTTTTTCTTGGGGTCAACCAGCATCATGTTTTTTAACAATTCATCACGTCATAAGTGTTAACCAGAGGATACCAGTAATTTACTGTTTTGGAATTTGTTATTCATTAGAGACAATCAAATTTTATGGCTTGAAATGATATTGTAGCCTTCAGCTTGGAATCCTACTTTTCTGTTTTCCTTGAATGAAATGAGTGTTTTTTTTTTTTTTTTTTTTTTTTTTTTAAGAAATTTATGGTACGTAGGAGAGCTGATACCCCAAGCTCAATTTAGCGTTCCCTTAGCTCTGGGCCACGCCTAGTTGCAAATTTGAGGTGGACTAATTTAGAACTAGAAGATCATATAGCAAGTAGGTTTGAAGTCATGCCCGCTGTGAAAACCAATTTTCTTACCTCCCAATTTATTTTTTAAAAAAGTATAAACAAATAAAATAATAAATTTATTTTACAAAAAAATAATTTTGCTTTCTAAAAACAGAAGCTTGCACTATACAGGCTTGTACTCTAATATAAAAAAATCAGTTCTAAAAGTGAAAAAGAAAAAAATTCTGGACCTTTGATGTTCTGCAAAAACTCAAACTCTAAATGTACTCAATATAAAAGGGCAAGGAAGAGATCTATTGTAGGAAGAGCTTTTCGAAGGAGAACAAAGAAATTTAAGAAGTAACAATTTTTTTTAGAAAAAGGAGAATTTTAGAGAGATTTAAAAAAAAGGGTGGATCTTCCGGAATAAAAGATAGAAAAAAAATAGTTAAAAGGAGAAGAAATTTCTTTCAGAGGAGGAAGCAAAAAATATATTCAGAAACAAGAGTAAAAAAGAAAAAAGAAAAACTTCTAATATATGAAGATTGATCATTTTATTGTCATCTTGACTTCATGTGTTGAAGGGGTCTTTCAGGTATGATGAATCTCTGCTCCTTGTATCTTTAGTTAGCAGAAAATTATATCTTATTTATTTAACAATGCCTTCCCCAATGTCATGCAACCTACTTAATATCATGTAAAAAACCTGAATCCTGAATATGATATATAATAACATAGGAAACGATAAATGGTAGGATTCTGATTTACTTTCGGTGTGATTTGACTATTGCAGCGTGATGATATGACTTTTTGTTCTTATTTCTGATACTTTCAATATTTATTTTTCTTCAACACAGTATATATATATATATATTATAAATATAAATATTCAAAAATAAGTAGAACGTTAGTTATATGTTATTATTATTTTGTTTTGTTAAATCAATCTTTTTTATAAAAATAATAAATAATAATAAAACATTTATTTTTATTTTTTACTATCGTTATCTTTATGTTTTCATTTGTTAATCTTATATAATTTATTCAATTATTTGTTTTAATTTTATATATATATAAAAAAACAAGTCCATTTATTATTTTCTCTATTATAATATATATATATATATATATATATATATATATTATGTTATAGGTGGTAGTAAGGTTTGTATTTTTTTTAATTAGTTTTATTTTTTATTTGATAACTGTATAAAGTTAGACGTAGATATTTTATTTTATTTTTGTGATTCAAAAATTAAATTTATTTTATAATTACATAATAAATAAATACATAAATTGTTATAATGATCTATAATATTAATGTGTAACATCTCTACCATTATGTATTGTGAATTATTGAGACTTATGTATACCAACGTTACCTTAAGTTTTATACATTATCAATTTATATAAAAATTAAATCCAACTTATTAAATTAATCAATTTTATAATTTTTTTATTTAATTAAAATATATCACCTAATTAAAAATATTTCTTTTATTATGAAAAAATAACAACTCATTTATTTTATTTAGTTAAAATATATCCATTATCTATAATATTTTCATCTAATTAATGCGGCGATTTATAGTGTTATTGTGTATCGTTTCTACCTTTATACACTTTAAATTGTTAAGATTTTTGTATACCAACGTTACCTTAGGTCCTACGTAATATAAATTTATTAAATGGAGTTATAATCATTTTATTAAGTAACTATTTTCTTTAATCAATTTAAATATATTTATTCTTTTTATTAAACGAAATTAATTTCATATTTTAATTTTTCGTAAGTCACATTTTTAGCTTTAATAAATAATAATTAATTACATAACTTTATTTTTTTGTTTTTATTATACAACATCAATATATAATTTACATTACCTTTGGTGGTCCAATAAATTATAAGAAATTTATGTTTAGTTTATGTTATCTTAAATTTTCTTTCAACAGTAATCATAATTAAAATTCAAAATCAAATATTTCACTTTACGAATATTTAACAATTTGCAATATAGTTCTTTAATTTTTCTTTACCTTCTGTATTATTTCTCGTAGAGTACATATTTAACTACATTATCTTGTATTCTAAACATTATAATTTTATCAAAATAACTTTAATTTCAAAATAAATTTTTTTTACTAAACTCAATTTTAATCAACCAACTTCGTAATCTTTTTAGATAGAACTATGTGACTTTAAGTTTCTCATTGCACCCGAGATACGTAAGTGCGAGAATGGACTCGTCAAGTCAAAATAATTTTCAAAAATATTTTCTTAAATACCAAGTTAACATTGCAATAAATAATTTTTCTTTTTAAAATAAAAATAATTAATGTTTAGGAGTTAAATAAATATTTTTTTAAAATTAAAATGAATTTGCACAATTAATTTAATGTAACCATTTTTAAATGGATCTTGTAGAGTGTTAATACCTTCCTTACGCCTAAATAACTTCCAAACTCATTTTTTGTTTCAAAGATCATATTATTTTTAAAATTTTTTTTTAAAGTTTTCTTAAAATAAAATTTTGTGACTACTTCTCTTATTTTTAAAAAAATATTTTTATTCTTAAAAAATATTTTTCTTAAACATGTTTTCGCCGTACTATTGCTACCGCTCGGTTATAACACTTATGATGACTAACTTTAACTTTAAAATCAGTGATTAACGTTTTCACTTGGAAACAAATATCTTAACTTATCATATTGATTTATATCTTTATGTTTACTTCGTTTATTTATTTTGGAAGGTCCTTCGGTTATTTTGGTTGCAACCACGCCAACATCTGAACATGGTATACAATGCTTTTGCACTTTGTCAAATGTTTATGAAGAAATTAAGATTACAGAAATTTGGGGCCTTTAAACCTTAAACTCAAAGAATCATTGTTCTGGTTCAGCTGAGAGTAGTTCTATGCAAGTTGTGGTAGCAAAGATGAGTTTTAGAACACTGATAACCAACATTTTGATTTTGACATTCTTGTTCATCTTATCCTCTCATGATTGAGATGTACATTCACCTACTTTCTACTTTCAATTAGAAAATTGTTTCATTAATGTCACTTGAAAACTTGTCAATCTAGCATGACTGATCATTGAAGTTTTATATGATGAATGATGTTCGACAATCCAATGGGTCTGATCAAGACATGAAAGTACTTATAATTGTAGGCGAATATTCTTATTTGCTCTATGCCATGGAACTAAGTATGCACTAAGATATTTTGGACTTTTCTCCCATGTTTGTCATATATGATGTCATGTGCCTGCAGTATTGAGTAACAGTTTATCTTCTGGTGAAAGAGATCAAACATGGAGTCCAACTTTCGATGGAAAGCCGTTCTTTGTCGCTGTCTAGACGTATATTATATGGCACATGGTTTCAATCTAAACAATGGTCTTTCTTGGAATGACTTCTAACCGCTGCCTAACTTTAGAATGTGGTGCTCTTATATAAAGAAAATAAATACACCGCTGTTATCAATGTGTGTAACCTTTTAGTGCCATAAATTCTCATCCCATTAAGATAAACTAGCCACCCTTAAGCTTACCATCGCATCTTGCATCAGCTGAATGTCATCATGTGTCCTCTAACTCTTGCCACTCTAATTTCTGTTGCCATCTTACAGTTGTTCATTGAAATGGCCGTGCGTCAGAAACAATACTTGACCTTCTAATTTTCGTTTTCTCTAACCCTTTTTACTCGGTAATGAAATCGTAGTTCTACTCACCCGTAGTTCAACCTTGAATTCAACCAAACTTATAGGGACTTTTACTTTGCTCTTGTACACGAAGTAGTCATATTTTATTGTATAAATCAGACTTTGTTATGATTCTTAAAATAAAAAGCATTACCTAACTCTCTATTGAATAGAAAAAACGATCTTGATGACATTTCCGTTCCTGACCGACAGGGAGAAGAAAGGATAACTATCACTAAAATATCTAATGTCTCACGTCAAAATAGTTCAAAGCACTAAAGTAAACCAAACCGACCATACCGCAAAACAAGTCAAGCCTCGATCTTAAAACCTTAACTTACTGATGAATAAAGGGTTCTGATTCTTCCCGTTCTGTGCCAAAGACATCAAGCCTTGTCATCTAGTCACTTCGCAATCTACAAACGTTTGTGTGTGTGTGTATATATATACACAAACGTACGAAGTCCTTGAGAAAACCCAAAACAATCAAAAGTTACTCTAGTTGCTGTGAGAACCGTATATGTAGATGCTTTGCAAACAGAGCACAAAGCAAAATTTAGATACTCCAACTGCGAAAACCATGCTTAACACCTACCATACCTACAAAGTCTCATCAAACCAGTGTGGTTCTAGCCTTGTGCAAACCATAGACGCACCATTACCTCTGGTATGGTCCCTTATTAGGCGCTTTGAGTATCCACAAGGATACAAGCTGTTTGTAAGGAACTGCACCATGCTTGCTGGGAATGGTGGCATAGGAAGTGTACGCGAGGTCGTGGTTGCATCTGGATTGCCTGCTGGAGTTAGTATTGAGAGGTTAGATAAGATGGATGATGACAAGCATGTCCTAAAATTTAGCATTATTGGCGGTGATCACCGGCTTGTGAATTATAGTTCGACAATTACTTTGCATGAAGAGGAAGAGAAATATGGGGGGAAGACGGTGGCGATAGAGTCGTACGTGGTGGACATTCCGGCGGGGAGTAGTGGCGAGGATACCTGCTCTTTTGCCAATACTATCATAGGTTGCAATCTTAGGTCGTTGGCTAAAATCACAGAAGAAATGGTTTGTAAGCCTAATTAAGGCATGCTTAATTTCATGAGGTTTCCTTATTTGTTTTGCTTTTATGTCCATTATTGTTATTATTATTTTTCATTTTGTACCTCTACGTATGGATTTATTACTTCCTATGCAGACTAAGATTACTAGGCGCTTAATTGTATATATTAGTTTGATCAAATAAAATGGCACTAGAAATAAAAGATCCTATTTTTGTTCATTTGTGTTTCCATTTCTATCACCATGTGTTATCCTTTCTCACTTATGTTGTCTATGCCGTTGCACATCTCTTTTACCCTCACATCTAATTTCTACTTTGCACGTACTCCAACAAAATCATCTTTCCATTGCTTTTTTACTTAGCTAGTCTTTTTTTTTTAAACTAATTATCAATTTAGAATTATTTTTAACACGTGTATTATACTAATTAAAAACGATATTTAGATAGTTTTTAAATCAATCATCCTTGAAACGATACTCCAGCATCCTCAAAATGATATTATATTGGGTTGACAATGTGTCATACAACGCAGTACACCTAATTAAATAGGTTAAGGGATGAAGTGATGAGGTGGTGGTTTTAAGGGGCATATATGATAGTTTGGTTTTAGGGGCATAGATGGTGCCATGGTGGGGAAAGATACAGTGGTGGAATGGAACATATTATGCCATGTTCAGTTTCTGCAGTTTGGAATTTTGGGACCCACAACCGACCAGTGCCCAGCCCTTGTGTACGCTTTGCCTCTGAAGCCGACTTGAGCCCAACTCGAATCACCTTTCACTCGTAGCCTTTAGCGATTCTATTCTAGGAGCTGTGAACTCTCCTTGCTTAATCACATGCGAGAATTTAGGCAGTGTCCGAGACATCAGCTCAAGCATTCTACCTAAAACCATACATCAATTGATCTAAATGAGAAAGAAGTAGTTTCATTAAGTGCATATTTAGTTTTGTACTTACTAGTCATGAATCCAGGCTCCCTTCAATACTACTAATTATAATACTCCTGGTTATAGCTTATGTAGATTCACATTTACCTTTTTTTTTTTTAAAACACTAAATATGTATCAGGAAATTTTGCAACTGAAGAAATTTGGCGGAAAAAATTCACACCCTTAGGCAAGTTTACTTAACTAGATTCCAATTAATTCCAAACACTGGATATCAAGAATTTTAGATTGAAATAAAAAATCTCCTAAAATTCAGCCTTTTAAAATCTGTAAAATTACTACCAACGAATATCCTGACATAATAATTCTCTCATTTAAGCAGGGCAGATTCCAAGAGATGAGTGTATAAACCCCACAACTCTGCCATTCTAATAGATGACGTACAAATATTTCGAATAAAACCGATCATCGAAGCCCCCGATTCATTTCTTATAACTCCACCACACCCGGCGTACCAATCATTGGCAACAGAACCATTAACATTAACTTTCAGCCAACCTCAAATGAAAATACGTGCTCTGGATATACTTGCAAATTTGTGTTATGTTCAGAAATCCGGATATTTAATGGGTGTAGCTACAAAGAAAGGAAGTGGGAAGGCACAAGCTCCCATGGACCAAATTCGAACAAAAACACATAATCACCCCGTTCAAATAATAAGGAATTCATTTGCTGCAAAGTCCTTAACGGCAATATCCATTAGGGCGATAAACCAAGCAGGTGTTAACAACAATGCGGGCAAATCTGCATATAAAAACCACAACACACGCAAAACAAAATAAATAATATAACGCCAATAAACAGGGAATCTCAGTCATTCACACTATGTAAGACATATTTAATAAACATACGAGGGATGTATTACGAGATTTAGAGAGTTTAAATGATCGTGCATTATTGCTAATATTGACATCACCAAAATCTGTAAAATGCTTACGAATAGTTCTGGTTGACCTAAACTGCAATCTAAATGAACATCATCAACTCTGGTCTACAGTATACGTTATTCTGCTCATCCTCCAGCGCAGGGTATGCTGCCACAAGAGCATCCTGAGCTCCAATGTACAGCGCGTTATAGATCTTCCAGTACACCTCCCGAACTTTACGTGCAGGGTGGAACAGACCTTGGAGACAGTAATTAAGAATAACGGCAGAACCCAAGGCTACTCTCATCCCTTCAATGGCTTCCATCACAGCATTAATCACATGTGGAGAAGTTTCAAATATGTTTGGCCAGACATAGTTCAGCAAATGGATTAGCGCATCCTCACAACCCAAACCAGCCACTCCTAGGGCCATGTGCTTCACGGCAGAAGCAGCTGTCTGCCTGTGAACCAAATCCCTGTCCATAAGAGCATCCTCAAGCAATGGAGTCACAGCATAGATGTAGTCCTTTCCCATTTCACCAATGTACTCAAACAGGAACGAGAGGGACTTCAGCACACCATTTTGCACATTAAGCTCTGGCACTCGATACTCGTTCATCAAAGCTGGTAAAACTGTGAAGGGGGAACATGTTTCCGCAACTATTGCAATGGCCACAGTAGTGCAGACACGGTTCTGCCTTTCCTGCACCTTGAGATTGTTTAATAGAGTCGCCAGGACATCCTGTGGTCCAATGGCTTTCGCAATATATCCAAAAGTGTTCACTGTAGCTCTACGGATTCCCTTCTTGTGTGCTTTAAGCATCTCAAGAAGCTCAAAACAAATCCTCATCCACTCTCTCGCAGGCACAAACTCAGCCCCACGATCAGCAATCCTACCAACAAGATCAATACAATTCTCTTGGACTTTCTCATGCCTATTCTTCAAAATTGGAGTCAACCTGGGAAGCAAATCCTTAATAGGTGGAGTCATCTTAGTCATACCAATAACATTCACAATTGACTTGAGAGCTCCCAGAATTGACCCTAAAACTTCAGGATACTCTTCTCCCAAATATTCATACAAGACAACACCAAGATGACCCATCAATTGTTCCTCATGGCACTGCTTCATGACAACAGCAATTCTTGAAATGAGGTCTGCTGCTTGCTGTCTCACCTTTGCACTCTTGTTGTTAAGCCGCCACTTGATGGTACCACAAATCTGAGGAAGATATGGTTTCACTCTCTGTCCTAGCGAGTTTACCACCGCACCAAATCCATTAAGCATCACATTAGCATCATCACTGGTCTGCTCTTGGAAGGCATAAAGAATACCATCAATCAGAAGCTCTTCCAAGCGTGCGTCTATATCAGATGCTCCCAAGTTAGTGACCACCTTCTCAATGGTTTCCATAACCATTCGCCTATAAGGTTCACTCTCATCTTTAAGATCCTCAACAATTCTACCAACAATATCTGCAACACCAACTTTGTTTGCTATCTCTACAGTCGTCTCCACAAGCTGCTTATAGTTTCTTCTATCCAAAGCCATCCTCCTAACCCAGAAATTCCTGAAAAACTCAGGAAGAATATCATTTCTAATGTAATCAGCCTCCACACCTTCAGTGCTCACACACTGCTTCACCACTTTCAGAACAATTTTCTTCATTTCCTCGTCGGGTGACTGGAATTCACGAATTAGAATGAGCATAACTTCCTTAGTATAGTAGCTGGCATATGTGCCTTCCATCAATGGAATAATAAACCCAATTGCTTTCAGAAATGCAGCCAACACCTTCCCACGGTGTTGCCTAATACCCTTCCACAGCGGCTTCAAGACAGAGTCAAAACTTTCAATACCATAAGGTGCAGCAGCCTCAGCAAGAGCAGCAAGTGACAATGCAGTGATCGTTCTCACCTTCTGATTCTCATCATTAAGACCATGCTCTATAATCTCCACAAGTGATCTCAGATGTGGCAACACAGCACAACCAATTAAAATGGCAATCTGTTGCACAATCTTAATCCCCGTGTGCCGTGCTTGCCATGATTTCTTACTTTGACAAACAGCCTTCAAGAAAGGCAACAGTGCAGGAATACCAAGAGCAGAGGCAACAACACTGAAGGCCCTAGCAGTGGTGTTTCTAACATATTCGTCAATGTTATCTATGTCAGGCCGCATGGCAGCAATCATTGTGGCCAGCCCAGCAGCTTTACTAAGATTAGAGATTATTTCCCTACCCTCCACACGGGCATAGTAGTCTTCATCAATCAACAATGGTTCAATAACAACAAGAATCTTATGCACATAAGGGCGAACTAATTCATCCAATTTATACAAAACTCTGTCTATTACCTTCACCAAGAGATGCCTCTCCTGGTCCTCCAGCGTAGGCTGCATGAGCAACGGCAGTATCCGGTTAAACAACGGGCCAGCACCAAACTCCCGAGCTTTATCAGTAAGTTGCCTCAACGCTGTCTTCCTTTGCGGGGGCGTTCCATTCTTCACTTTAAGCAGAAGTTTCATAATCTTCCGCTCCTTTTGTTCATCCGGCGACAACTCCTCCTCATTCTCCTCATTCAACAGCGCCCCAAAGTACTGGTAATCTTCAGGTTTCATGAAAGGCAAGCCACCAGGCGCTTCCTTGGGAACATCAAACTGCTGCCCGCGATTTTCTTCAGGGATTTGATAAAGTGGAGTCCCCAACGGTGTAGGGGTAGCAAGGAGCTTCCTTGCAGGCGTTCTAATGGGTACATAGGAAGCAGGGGGTTCCAAAATCTTATACCCTTCTTGAGGAAACATGGCATCAAGCTCCTCATCAGTCAAGGGGCGATTCCTCTCTTCAATATCCCTCTCCCACCTCAACAAATTGTACTGCTCCGGCGTTATGGAGCCGTGCAAAGCCCCAGGAGTGGGAGTCGCCAATTCAACTCCACCAACAGGAGTAACACCAGGAGTATAAGCAGCAGCAGGAGTGGCACCTGGCAATGGAGTAGCACTACCCATGGTAGCAGGGGTTTCATCCCACCTCGACCTTTGCCTCTTAGGAGTTGGTGTAGCCATTCCAGAGAGCTTAGGGGTTGCATCCCAAGTCATGCCTGCGGGTGTAGCACCAGGTGTCACACCCCCTGCAGGAGTTGCATCAGAATCCACCAATCTACCAGGGGTTGGAGTTTCATCCCACCTGTTCCTTCTCCCGGGCGTAGCATCGGTCACTCTCCCTGGCGTTGGCGTCGCATCCCATCGCCCTGGAGTCGTGTCCGGCATGTCCCAGTCGGACGTTTTCGCCTTCTTCACTGCTGCCGCTCCGTCGTCCTGAGACTGGTCCCACCTGTTCCTCCTCTTCTGCTGCTGCTGCTGTTGCGGAGCGGCTTTCGCGGCCTCCTCTTCCTCCTTCTTCTTCTTGGCAATAGCTTTCAAGGTCTCCTCCTTCTCCCTCTTCAGCGCTTCCTCCCTCATAACATCAGCGTAGGTCCTCACGGAGGGGTCCGGCGTCTTCTCTCCGGCGGCGAAGGGGTCGTGACGCTCCGGCGAAATGATCTGGTTAAGGCGCCTGCGGCGATAGTCGTCTTCGCGATCGATGATCCTCTGAGGCCTCCGGAAGCCATTGTCGGCCTCGGAGTCGGCGGCGGAGGGCATGTCCTTCAAGAGAGATTTGGGGGCGGTGTAGGACGCGAGCTTGCGAGCAACCTCGTTATCGATGGCGTCGAGGTTGTCGTCGTCCTCGTTAGCCGGGATTGAGGTGAGGTAGGAGCCCTTGTCGCTTCCGCCATAGAGATCGGTGTCGAAGGTTACGGAGGTGAGGGACGCGAGTTGCTGCTCCATCTTCTTACGCTCTTCCTGCGTCTTTGCGATCTCGGGGTCCAGCGACGCCATAACTGAGATCGTTCCAAAACCCTAACCTAGGGTTCTTCAGGTTTCAACTGAGAAAATGGAATGAACGGATGGAAAATTGAAGAGAAAGAAAGAAACCCTATTACTGAAAAGTATGATAGATAGAAAGACAGACAGATAACATTATCAAAATGCGATGGAACCGACATTGTTTTTCGCTTGAGGTTGGGTCCAGTCCACTTCCATTTTCCTGGACTATATTCAAGCCCACAGCACTTTGTTGACAAAAAAAAAACCTGTATTTCTCGGTAATTTTCTTCTTCTCAACAGAAAGTTAATGATGAAGTATTTTCGAGAGCATCTTATTTCGTCGTAAGAATATTTTTTATATTTTAGTAACATGTTTATTGTTAGACCGATAGTTTTCCTTAAGGTTCGTTTATGTGTGTTTCTAAAAAATATTGTTGAATAAAAATGTGTTTGGAAAAAAATATAATGACTAAATAAGTTTTTTAAGTATATTTTAAAATTCATAATTAATAAATTATGAAAAAAATTAATAAATTATAATACAAAATGTTTTTGAATAAAATCTGACACGGCCCAGCATTTTTTACATGCATTAATCTCTATTCACGAGCGTTGACTATTGTATCATCCGTGCTAATTGCAGATCCCATTCTTCAGCAACCAGTCCAGTAGCTTGGGAACACATTTGCAGTTGACTGTTAGATATCCTGATCCTTTTACACAGATACACTCGCAAGTCACCACCAAATGATTCATTCTAACTAATAGGACTAGTAGAAACACCAAGAGAAAATTTGGCTACTCATTAACAATGATGGTTGTACCAAAAATAATTAACGGTGATTTAGTTCCTTCATACATAATTACCAAATTGCCCCTTGGTCAGTACCTGAGTATTCAGGTATTTGATCTTTTCGTTTCTGTCTTATTGATTTTCCATCATGATCATTGAAGACAAAGGGTAAAACAGAAGACCAAGATGCAGACTCCTCTTGTAGTCTTGTGCTGACTGGTAGGTTTGATCATGTATCCAATTGTACACTATATATACAATACAAAGACACTGGTGGATCCAACATCACTGATAAACAGTGAGTAAAATGGGTTGCCATCAGAAAACTAAGTCGGTGCTTCTTTTCCTTGTCTTATGTTCATGGGCATTTCTATGTTATGGTCTCCCAAGTGAGTACTCTATATTAGCCCTTGACCTTGACAAGTTTCCTTCAGAGGATGGGGTGGTTGAGTTGTTCCAACGATGGAAGGAGGAACACCAAAAGTTTTATAGACACCCAGAAGAAGCAATGTTAAGGTTGGAGAATTTCAAGAGGAACTTGAAACACATCATTGAGAAGAATGCAAAGAGAAATTCTCCCAATGGGCACCGTCTTGGATTGAACAGGTTTGCTGATATGAGCAATGAAGAGTTCAAGAGTAAGTTTATTTCAAAGGTGAAGAGGCCATTTAGCAAGAGGAATAGTCTCACCAGCGGTGGCTTGAATGTGAAGGGGGATTCATGTGAAGATGCACCTCTATCTTTAGATTGGAGGAAGAAAGGAGCTGTGACTGCTGTGAAGGACCAAGGCGACTGTGGTAAGCTTCTGTATAATCTATAGACTAATTGGCAGCGACACACCAATAGAATTGAAAAACTGATGATTTATGGTGTTCTATGCATGGTTGAGAGTTATGTTGTCATGTTGCTCTCTTTCATATACTAACCACTCTAATTTCTGATTCAACTTTTGAACTTATACTTTTCATATCATAATCATAGAAGTATTTATGATTCAATTTTTAGGTAGTTGTTGGGCATTCTCTTCTACTGGAGCCATCGAAGGAATAAATGCAATAGTAACAGGGGACCTTATAAGCCTTTCGGAGCAAGAACTGATGGACTGTGATACTACTAATGACGGTTGCGATGGAGGCTACATGGATTATGCTTTTGAATGGGTTATAAACAATGGTGGGATTGACACAGAAACTGATTACCCATATACTGCTGTAGACGGTACATGCAATGTCACCAAGGTCTTCTTTCTTACGTTTACTATTACGAAGGCCTGCTTTTTAATTCTTATGCCTTTTGCATTGTGATAGCAGAACACATTTATTTCACTGTCTAATTTGTTGTATTTTTCTTTAATTAGGAGGAAACCAAAGTTGTTAGCATTGATGGCTACACCGATGTGGCACAATCAGATAGTTCTTTGTTGTGTGCTACAACGAAGCAACCCGTCAGTGCCGCTATTGATGGCTCTTCATGGGATTTTCAACTATACACTGGTGTAAGTGTTATTTATTTCCTGTTATGTTTATTTAGAAATTGTATTTACACACAAATTTTACACCATAAAGAAAGAGATAGGAAGAGACGAGAGAAAAATGTAGGATAAAAATGTTGTAGAAGGTATTGAATGAATTTGTTGTACGAGTAACAGAAGTCATGTTTATGTGGTCATTTACTATATTCAAGAAGTAAAAACCAGAAAAATGGACTCTCCTCTCATAAACAAGACTTTTTTTTTTTCTTTTCATGAACAGGGCATCTATGATGGAGATTGCTCAAGTAATCCAGACAATATTGATCATGCAATTTTAATTGTGGGTTATGGGTCAGTGGCTAATGAAGATTACTGGATTGTAAAAAATTCCTGGGGAACAAGCTGGGGAATAGAAGGGTACATTTATATGAGAAGGAATACTGATTTAAAATATGGAGTGTGTGCAATCAATTACATGGCCTCTTATCCCACCAAAGACTCAACTGCACCATCCCCAAGCAGTCCTCCTTCACCACCATCACCATCACCTCCACCACCACTTCCTCCTTCACCTAGTGAATGTGGAGACTTCTCCTATTGTGCAGCTCATGAGACATGTTGTTGCCTTCATTCATTCTTTGATTTCTGCCTTCTTTATGGTTGTTGTGAATATGAGAATGCTGCGTGTTGCACTGGGACAGAGTACTGTTGTCCTAGTGAATACCCCATTTGTGATATTGAAGATGGACTCTGTCTAAAGGTAAGAGAGATTATATCTATATTCTAACCTCTTCCAATTAATAACATTCTCAATGTAATCAAGATTCTTGTGCTGAAATATACTCACAATTGTGTTATGTAATGCAGAACTCCGGAGATTTAGTGGGAGTAGCTGCAAAGAAGAGAAAGATGGGAAGGCACAAGTTACCATGGACTAAATTTGAACAAACAAAAAATACATATCATTCCCTTCAGATAAGGAGGAATCCTTTTGCTGCAACGCGTTGAAATTAGTGTCACTCCTTGATAATATTTCTTTCTTTTTTTCAGCCTCTTCTGATGCTTGGATTTTCTCTAGATTATCTACAATGGATTATATCCATCCATTATTTAATTTCTCCTGTTACTCTTAATAATACAAGCCTTAAAAGTTAAGTGACACCAAATATGATTTGAAATTGTCTGATAAGCTTAATACAAGCATTTTGGCCTAAGGTGAAGATGAAACTTGATAACAAAAAATCTAATTACATACATACATGTATAATTATTAATTTCATTTACATTGTCAACACTCATGAGCAAAAAAATTTGCATGGAAATTTGCATTATTCTTAATCAAGTTTTTTTTTATTACATCTTTACCATGTTTTATTTTAACAAATTATATTTAATTTCTGCACATAGTTCGGATATATAAGAATAATTTTATTTATAATAATTAATAATAAAAATTATTATAAAAATTTAATTTAATTTTTATATAATTTATTGATAAAATAAAATATTTTTATATTACTATTTAGTCACAGATTATTATATAAGTCAATATTTGATATTTTAATATTTATATTTATTATATATGTTTATTAGTTGATAGTATAAACAATTTATATTGATAATACATCAAAATTACGTTACTAAATTATTTGATATTTAACTCTTAAAACGATGATAAAGTTAACTTTATAATATAAAAATATATTAACTATAAATGAAACAAATATATTTAAAATATTTGACAGACTATCTTCCCTCTTTTACCAAAATACAAATAAAAATCAATTTATATTATATTTGAAGAAATATATAATAAAATAATTTTACATTACAGTAAAACATAATGATTTTATCATAAACAAATATTTTATTATTTTTAATATTATAATTATAATGTAATGTTATGTTAATAATATATTTATAATAAGATAATTAAATAATATATATATATATATATTATAATCGAATAGATACAAAAGTAGAAAAAATTTACAAAATTATAGTAAAAGATTGAGAATTATACTCTATTTATATTATGATACCATTTCATTATCATCTAATTTTTTTTACCAGGGAATTGTAGTTTTATGGTGGTTCTTTCCTATTCCTTTTTTAGGCTCAATAAAACTATTATCTAAAATCAGATTTAAAAAGAAATGAGGAAAAACAAGTTTTGTGTGTTTAGATGAGGGAAAAAAATTATTTTAATAAATGATTATATATATAATTGAATGTATAAAATAAGTTTTGTGTTAGACATGTTAAATAAAAAGTAATTTTAAAATAATTTATTGGGTTTGGATTGAATAAACTAATTAATTTTTAAAGTTAAATTACAAATATAAAATTATGTGTAATGGTTATTTTTATATTTAATCTATGAAGGATAAAATAAAAAAATAAAATTAACTAAAAAATAAGTTGACAGCTTTTAATCATAAGTTCTAAAATTCTGCTTACCTTAAATAAGTTATTTCTTCAATAAAAAAAAGTAATAAAAATATAAAATATTTTTTAATTTTTTCTTAACAATAAACAGTATTTTTATATATATTTTTTCAAATAATCAAGGTTAATAACTTTTCCTAAATACACGCTAATTGTGCCCAAAGTTGGGTTGTTTTATATTAGGGCCAAAACTTAAGTCAACTAATCTAGTCCAAGTTTTCCGTTGGATACCAAAGCCCAGATACGTACTGTTACCATTGACATTTTGGGATTTATGTTTTTCTAAAGATATATAATACAAAATTAATAAATAATAATTTTTATTAAATATTATAACATTTAGTAATATTATTGAATTCAATAATATTATATTTATATAACTAATAAAAATTTATTATATATAAATTCTTATTGCGTATCATGACATATGTTGGAAAAATCATTGCTAATTAAACAAAAGTTGGTAGTATGTTTGATTTAATTTTTGAGAAATTCAAAACCGTGTTTTAGAAAATTAAGATTTTAAATGCAAGCTAATTAGCTAATAAACGTTCATTAAATTAATATTCGGTATATTCAATAAAGCCACTACCCACTTCAACTTTTGACAAAGGTGCTAAATTTCCTGAATCTATGCTCAAACCGTAAACAGCCAAATATACTTTGCCTTTTTATAATACATTTCTTAATATCTTTTTGGCCAAGTTTAGTCAGCGTTTACAGTGATGTGGATTTCTTTGTCGATATTGTTCAATTATGCACTTCAATTATTCTACCTTAAAACTGTATGCATGAACAATTCCACTGCAATTTAATTTTAATTATTTAATAAATAACCCAGGGAAATGTTTTAAGGCATACTCGCAATCAGACATCCAGTGATAAGGACATCGAAAATAGGGTTGAAAAATAAGCTGAATCAACTTAAAATTATTTCAAGACTCAATTAACTAATTAATTCATATTTTAGGGATAAAGGTAAAAAAGGAAAAATAATTAAAGTGATTATTTGGGTCTAAATCAGACAGAAGCATATTTAAATTCCACAACCTCTGCATTGCACAATTTGAAATGTTGTTTGGCATGTGTGGAGTTTTGTGGTGCACATGGAGGAGGTTGAAGATAATTATTTTGTTTAGCTTTTTCACTTATCATTCAACAGCAACCCTTTGGGTCAATTGTTTGGTTCTCTGCGTTGTTTTCATGAGGAAAGGGAAAGTGGTTGAATTAAAGAGGGAGGAGCGGCGTGAGGAACGTACCAGAGTCAAGAATGGCGGACAACAACCATCAAAAGACCCCATTTCGTGGGACATAAGAGCCCCTTTCTAATATCACTCATGTTCCCACACCACCCCCTCTTCCGCAATCTATGGCCTCTAATCACTGTTTCTTTTTCCGCAATATGTATATTCTGTGGAATCATCTATTCCAGTGTAAAAAAAAAAAGTTTTCCTTTTGAATAAATGGTACACAAAACGATTCCTTTTTTCTTCCTCCCACTTGTTAAAGTATAGGGCTTTTGTAAACATATATATTCTCAAGTAGAGTTTTTTTTAAAATTGTTCATGATTTAGTCTCCGTAAATTAATTTTTATAAAATTAAGTTAAACTAGTTCAGATCCAGATTGGTTTAAGAATTTCTTTTTCAATAATGCAAATGTTCGTACATGATTGCCCCGCGCTCGTGAATCATCTTATAGTAACTATAAATTTAAATAATTAGACTCATAAGCGGAGTAAATGAGTATACCCTACCGACATTATACACCACAAGGAATTATTTTATCTTATACTAAACTCAAGATGAAATAATTTTTATTTAAAAAGTTACTATTATAATGATAAATATTTTTGTTTTAATATATTTTATGTATGGTGAATTTATGCTTTCTATGTGGATTCGCTTTCGGAATCTGCTGGATAAATCCAAAAAAGCAAAATAATATTTACGATTTGGATATTTATTTTTTTTGTGTTTTTGGTTTTGGGGATAATTTGCTTGGGCGAAAGCGAAATGATTGAGAATGATATGAAGATTAAATGCAACGTGGACTGAGACTGTGAGAGAGAGAAAGAGAGAGGAGGTGTCGATTATAAAGAGGGTCGGTCCACTACCTTACTTTATTGTAGTTAAGACCCTTTGTTACCACTAACTCTTCTTCACGATACATATGTGACCCATCACTTTTTACTCACTGCTTTTAAATAATCTTAAAAATTTTATGTTGAATTAACGAACCCAAAAAAGACGTATATGAGGATTATGAAATTGAACAAACCGAAAAAACGACATTACCTTGGTATTAGCTTAGTATTACGAGGTCGTTTTGGAGTTGAGTTTAATGCCTGTTGTGTCAATTCTACCTGTTTCACGAGTGTGGCACAACCACCACACTGTTAACTGTTGAAAAACAAAATAGATAGAAACCAAAAGAAAGAAGAAACACAGAGCTTGTGTCTCTGTCTGTCTCAGCCTTTTGTGACTTTTCTTACGTCCTACTCATTCCTCCCACACACCACGGCGTCATTTAGCAACCAACCATTCTCATTTCTTGTCATCTCTCTCACTAGCACCTTTTCCCTTCTTCCTCCTTTCATTATTTTCTCCACTACTCACTTCACAGACACGTTCTAGCTGAATATTCAAGAGGTTTGGTCTTTTGTTCGTTATCAGTTAAATCTACTTGGTTTCCATTTCCTTAGTAATGTTAGTATCATGTTGCTGAGGTTGTGTTTAATTGTTATGTCTGTGTCTGTAGTGCTTCGCTGTTGGTCCTGTTTAAATGGATTTGAAGTTTATGTTGTTATTTTGAACTATTAATAATCAGTTCTTGCGTTGCATCCTTTTTCCCTTTTCAGGTTTTCATGATTGGATAGGACATAGGAAGTTGCTTATCTAATTATTTATGCCTCTGTACTGATACATGATTGTGTCTTGAATCGTGAACTTGTGATTAAGAGGGGCTGCATAGGACATTTGTTAAATTTTGGAAGAAGATGGCTGAAAGGAAATTGAATATTAATGCCCCTCTCATGTCTGTGAGACGCTCTTCTGCTACACCACCATCATTGATTGAAGCAAAGAAGAAGATATTAGAGAAACGTCACACTCTTCCTTACTATAAACAAGACATGACTATGGATCAGGTAACTGAACCCGTTGCAGTGCCTTTCAATTGGGAGCATATCCCTGGGAGACGCAAGGGTAATGGTGGATCCGAACCTCAGGTTCCTAAGGCTACTTCAATCACTCCAAGCCCGAGGCTTCCCCCTGGAAAATCTACCAATTCTCCCAAACATCCACTGGAAAAGGAAACTAAAGCTGCAAGTAAATTTGAGTCCTCGAATAAATCGAAGTCTTTAAATGTCAGTGTGGCTAAAATAGACTGTGAGAGAGAAAGAAAAGCTGAGAAAATAGTTGAAATTAGAAGGTCCAACGTGGAGGAAGATGTTGATGATGATGTTTACTCCGATGCCCTTGAAACACTGTCACCTACAGAATCATTCTCCCTGAACTGTAGCGTTAGTGGTGTAAGCGGAGAGAATTTGGAAGCAAAGAAGTTTGGAACGTTTTCCACAGATGAACAAACCCGAGACTTCATGATGAGCCGTTTCTTGCCTGCTGCAAAGGCTATGACATTACAGCCTCCTCAATATGCTTCAAAAAAGCAATCTGTACTAGTAGAACAACAACCTAGAGATGTTAGCAAATTAGTTCGTGAGGAAAAGAAGCACTTGTATAATAGACTTACCACTGATATTATACCATATACTGGCCCAAGTCAAGAGGAAGAAAGTGAAGATGAAGGTGATGATTATGACAACTCTGCGAATATCTCAGCCAAAGGTTGCGGGTTGTTACCTCAGTTACATATTAGGAATTCATTGTGCTTATTGAATCCTGTGGCTGGGATGAAAATGAAGAATCAGGTCCCTTTGTCTTTAGTCTCTGAAGTTGGAAAACCAAACAAAAGCTCCCATATTAGATCTTTTAGCCCGGTTCCTGCTGTAAAGAAGGTAAAAACAATAGCACTTATATGCATCAATTTTTTGCACCCTTCAATTCTTTTTTTAAATCAGCATTTTCAAGTGATCTTGTTTTCAACATATTAAATTCATTTACAATTATGAATCTTTCCTGTGCAGGCTTGGGATGCTATTCACAAGAACAAATCAGGCTCTGGGGCGTCATCACCTGACATGCTAGAGGGTAGAAAAAAAATGAATAGTGAATCAAACAGATTTGCTTACTCAGGTGAGTTGCTACCAGGTAGGCTTTCTCCCTTTCGTCGTTCAAGAGCTGCTGCTACCGGTATATCTCCCTGTCGAAGTAAACCTCAATCTCCCTTTCGTGGAACCAAGTTGCTTGGTGATTCTAAAGAGGCTGAAAACTGTAAGTCTAGCAAGTTGAAATTCTACAGCGGTGCGCTGCCACTTGGGAATGTTCAAGATGTGCTATCCCAAGGAGCAAAAAGAAGTTCATATTCAGGGAACCTTACATTTGAAAAGACTTTGTACATAGATACTGCAAGTACAGTCAAATTTTCATCTTCAAATTTAAGTTCTGTAGATAACAAACGGAGGGTAGATACCGTGGCTGAAGACTTAGACAGAAGAAAGGGGAAAGGAAGTAATTCCACCTTAGAATCTTCTCAGGATAAAACACGTGTACAAACTATGGAAGAAAAGGACACATTTGATTCTCAAGTTTTAAGTTCTATTGATTCCAATCCACCAACTTTGTACAGTATTTTAAATCTCACAGCCAAAGAAGACAAAGATGAAGGATTGATAACTGATCAAAATATTAACCAAGAACCCATGTCCTTGCCACTTGTGCAGGGGACATTTGCTGAAGATTCAAACACTGACACCCAGCAAATTGTGTTAGCAAATGGTTTAGGAAAAGGTGGTGCTGAATCTGCTGTGTCTCCTCTTCCCCCACCATTGCCAAAATCACCTTCCGAGTCATGGCTTTGGCGTGCCTTGCCTTTAGTTTCTGTGAAGAATTCTTTTCTGCACTCAAATCAAGGTACTCAATCCCATGCTAAAAGGCAGGATTCTAATACAGCATCCGGAAATATCAAGTGGGAAACAATAGTAAAAACTTCGAATTTGCATCATGATCACGTACGCTATTCTCAGGTAACCTTATTAATCTTTTTCTCTATAATTTTGTCCACCTCATCTCTGGGGGTGACACTGATGAAAATTCACTTTTAACTTTCTCTGCAGGAATTACCCACGCATAAATCTCAGCACTCAAAATCTTAGAGATGAAACTCAGTAACATGTTATGGTCCAAGCTTTTTGTGTCCTCTTTTTAGTCAAGCTTAAGGTATGCAGTCCGTACCTTATGTAATATAGAATTATTATAGCACCAGTTAAATTTGATGTAGTTGTTTAGATTTTTGCCTGAGCTAATTAGTAGTTTCATCCCAAAATATTGAATTCACATCAATTAAGTCCTTCAAACTTTATTTACGTCAATTGATCATATCAACCTTTAAATTTGAGTCAATCAAGTATATCTATATCAATTTTGACATCAAATATGAAAGATTACATTTTATTTTTAATTGAACCAAATATGAAAGAATAAATACTGAACTTATGTAAAATTCATTTACAGGACTAAACAATTTAAACACACTGTTTGAAGACTTTTTATCAATTCTCTTTTTTACACACTATAAAGTATCATGTCTATGTTATTGCTTTTTCCTTTATATTGGATTTTGTTTCCAGCGGTTGACTTTAGGTTCTGACCCCTTTTGATTTTTGTAATGCTGTATTATATAGAAAAATCAATAAAAGCAAAGCTTCTTTGTGACATGTGGCACTTTCGGTGGATTCAAGATTTCTTAACCTGCCAAGAGAAAGTGTACATCGGTTAGAACTGTGTGCCCTTTCATCATGTTGTTTTAGTCTTCTCCGCTTCTTTCTGCTTAATCAGAGGAATGATTCTTTAGGTTCCCTCACCTGATGGTAGTCTCAATCTTCAGGTATCAGCATTTTTTATGTCAACTGACACAAGTGATTACTGTCATCAATGCTTTATTGATTGTTCTCCATTTTCTTTATACAAATAAAAAGAATTGTTCAAAAATCAAAGTATTTGGTCTGTTTTTCCTCATCACTTTCAGAAGCCTATGTCCAAGTATGTAAATCAGATTAGTTCTGAATTGAGATGAATTTCAAGTTCTCATGCATTTGGGGTATTTCTTAGGTGATGCTGCTAGCAAAACCTAGCACAGAGACAGGACAAAGTAACTGTCATAAATTGCAAGTTAACTTATATAAATGATCTTTCTCTTTCATGTCTTATGATTACAAGTTACTTCGCAATCGCAAGTCATGCAAAAATGGATTAGTTAATGTTATCTGTATCTCCATCTTAATGTCTGTCCCTGGTATACTCTTGTGCCCTGTCACATGAACATTTTGAAATTACATTTGAAAGGACAGAGATGAACGAGGTTTCGAAAATATGAACTCAATGTTGTTTATTTGGTTAATGTTAAACAATTATACTAAGTCTTGGTTGGATATGGATTAAACTGTCGTGATCTTTTAAATTTTTCCTAACTCTTCTTTCTTTCTTTGGCTCTGACAGAGGATGAACTACTTTATCTTTTATAATCAACAACGTCATATTAAATTCGAAGTCACGAGTTACACGTGCCCATCTGATGAATTCTCAAAATAATCTAACATAAACCATTATTACGTGGATAAAGAGAGAAAAACTAAACTCATTATTAGTAAAGCATTTACAGTATATATAGATTCATGTGTAGAAATTATTTAATAAATAACTCGCAACAAAAAGAACAGAATTAGTTATACACCCTTAACACACTTGAAATAGGTACAACAATCTTGAAGGGTTTAAATTGTTTCATGAAATAAATAATCTCATCTTAGATAGATTAACAAGATTTTATTTATGAAAAATCAATATAATTGTTAACAATGTCTTGACTTAATTAATCCACTTAAAATAAAAAATATACAAATTCATCTTTGAATGTCCTGGTGTTTATCGTTATATATATCACTCATAGTGATAGACCTAACATCTGTTCTGACGTGTGGATTTTGCATAGGAAGATGGAGATAAGAGATTATTGGGAAAAAACAAGGATCATGATTTATGGTGAGTCCGCATGTTTATTGGATTATTGAACAGTGGTTAGAATCGATCATGTGAATGAGTATAGGTTGAACGTGGGGAAGTTTATGGCAACTGTGTAACATCTAATAATAACTAAGGTGATGACAAGGTGGCAACAGGGACTTGACGGTGCAAGATATCCTGAGATATTTATATCACAACTCAAGACTCAGGACAACGGTATTAGGGACTGTTTGGAGATATAAAAATGGCGCCAGTAATAACTCAATTTCCAAAACTTAAATATGTTATTACCAGGTGTATTTTTACAATTTTTTGTTTTAGTCTTTTTTATTAATGCGACCGAATGAGAAATTATCATTTTTTTTTTCTTGTAGAATTGTGTCAATAAAGAAAACAAAAAAAAAAGAAAAAAAAAGAATGGGCCACAATTATAAACAAATAAAACTGCACACAAATAGTTTATCTGCTATCAATTTAAATAATATGAAACTTACTATTATAGTTAATTGAATTTAATTTTGATGCGTTATCACTTTTGGAATTTTTATTCTATTCTCTGTTTAAGCATTATTAAATCATTAAAGAGAAGTTCGTTTACTAAGATAAAATTCCATTTAAATCATTAAAAAATGTAATTCCAAAAGGGATGTTTCGCTACTTGAAATATGACAATGATACACAATTTCAGAAGAAGAGGAAGTAAGCTGACAAAAAAGAAAAAGAAAAAACAGAAGTGAAAAAAGAAGAGCAAGTTTTGGGCCTCAGGATTTCAGTTGGACGTCTACGATGAAGAGGTCTTCTAAAAGTTAGAAGCCTTTTCTAACCATCTAGTAATGATAAGTATTGCCACTTAATATGTTTATAATTTAGGATTTATAATATTATTTTTTTTAAAATACATGTTGGAAAGTTCTGTAATTAATCCCAACCTAAGATTATTAAAGCCCTTACTTTAAATTTTCATAAAGTATTGTTTTAGTAATAATAATTTTAAAAGAAATAAAAAATTTAGTAATTATCTAATAAGTTAAACTATTAAGAATAATCATTTTTAGTTCTAAAACTCTAACTTTCATCCTGGTATGATTTTTCCTTTTCATAAATAAAGGTGTCATTTATTCCTTCAGCACTACATGGTTGGATTTTTTCTTTCTCTTGTCATTTTTTCACTTGATTAAATGTTTGTACTTGAAAAGAGTAATAGATTATGATACCAACAGTTCTATTAACGGTTATTTCAGCAATTTATTTTCGAAATTACAATTAATAAAATATTATTTAAAATCAACAATGCCTTAAGAAAGATTAAGTGAATTAACTTTATTATTAAGTAGAAAAAATCATAATAATTTTCATATATCATTTTATTAATTTAAAACTATCTCATTTAAAAATTCATTTTAGCTATAGTCAAATTAATGCTGGGATGACTTGAAATTCTTACAGTTTGGAGAAAGAAAAATACAATTTCAAAACACAAGCCCAAAATCACTCCATCTGCATCAGCCAACTTTCTAATACTCAAAAACTCGAAGCAGTCTGGGGAATAGATATTTAAGTTAAGTAATTTGATAAATAAATAAATAAAAGCATTTATTTTGTAAAAATATTCAAAAAGAATTTTATTGATAAAAGCTTTAGGTTGCCTAATGAATGTGTTGTGACCCTAATTGTACCCATTGTTAATTTAGAGGCACTCACCATTATTAGTGAGTGAGATGCATCATGCACATAAAGACGAGGCATATTCATCACCATTGTTCAGACAAGGTAAGACATTCTTGCCTAAGCTTGTCAGAAAGCACACCCTAGTCTTTAGGTACCCTTCAATTATGTTCATCATCTACGCACGGCTATTCTTAAATGTTTAGAATTAATTTTTAAAAACAGATATCAAACATGCTCTAAAATTTTTAAATCATAAAAGAATTTACAATTTTAATAAATCATGATGATATGAGATTAACTTAATGATTAAAAAACGCACATTTTGTTATCACTCAAAAATTTCAAAGTGAAAGCATGACATCCAATTTTGTCAGATTTTTCTACTTCAAAAAATATTTTTGTTTCAATTAGTAGGAATAAAAAATATGAAAAATGCATCTGATACAAGGATTTCAAGAGGGTGGGACAAGCATGGATACTAATTACCCGCAGATAAAAATTGGTATCTTACCCACTTCGTACCCTTGTGGATTTTTATTATTTGTGAATATTTATTAAAAAAATTACAGAAAAAAATTTAAAAACCTCATTTAAATAATTTATATATAAAATTAAACATTTAAATTATATAAATATATATACAGTATAATATTTTTATAATAACAAAAATATAATATTAAGTTAAATAAATATAAAAATATCATAAAATATTAATATTAAAGACATATTTACTTGAATATAATGATAATATTTTAATAATTTTACAAATATAAATACCTGCTCTGTTATTTAGTGGATAGAAAACAAAATTAAATTAAATTTGCAAATGTACAAATATTTTTAATCGTAGCGGATTTTTATCTCCAAATATCTACGCGTATCGATAATTCTGTCATTTCTAATATCACGTAGTTAATGCCACAAAACATATATAAATTGGGTTTGCAGTGTCATACAAATTAAATTGTAAAATTCTTATATTTTTTATATTTATTTTATTTTTCTCTTTTTTATTACATCATTCAGTCCATCTTTTTTTTATTTTTCAAGTATTTTAACAAAATTATTTAATATTTTCAAATAATAAGAAATTTAAATAGAGTATATAAATACTCCACCTCGGACACTCGTTATAGCAAGACCTTAAACTTTTTTACGTAAGGGTAATGCATCACAATTAGTCTCGTAAGTTAATTAATTGACGATGAGAAAAATAAAATAAATAAAAGCACAAAAAAATAGACGTAAAACATAATATAAATATATTTTCTTAACATTTTTCACAATTTTTTTTAGATTATATATTAAAATTCTATTAACCTCAATCTTTAAAATTGATTTTAAATACTTAAAAACAACAAATTGTTATATAAAAATACATTTATTATTACATTAAAATTATAAATTTATGATAAATAAATTTTATAATAATTTTTTTTTTATCGAAATCTAACCTTAAAGATTGAGATTAATTTTTTTCATATATATTATTTTATTGAAAATATACTATATGTTATTATTGTTCTCAGAAAAAGTAGTTGCTTTTCTTTTTCAATGTAGTGTGCACTGATATATTTCAAGCATAGCCCTGTGATCACAGGGTTCAAAGTATTTGCTTAAGCAATTAAGCATTTAAGCTTGGTAAAAAAAGAGCTTAATAATAATTAGACGTATATGAGTCACTGCAAAGCAGCTTGCGTGCACGTGTTACTAAATATTAATGCTGCTAAATCCATGCATTTTCCACCATTTAATTTGTCTATATATCATTTTGTGCAGGTATAGCTTCTGCAACAAAGCAAGACTTGTAACGTTGAAAAATGATAATAATACGTTCTTTAGTTATTAATTAAATTTTATTAAATATTAAAAAATTATGTAAATTTCACTTTTAATTTAATACTTTTTTTAATTTTTTAATAAATTTGTGTTAAAAACTTAGCACTCCTCTTGTTGTGTTGGTTGGATCCTTTTCCCATGTAATTTTCTCCATATTTAAGTTCTGTGCGTTGATCAAACCAATCGTTTGCATAAAAAAAATCACTAATGAGAACTCACTCTCAATCATGACACAGTTCCTTTTACAATCAGATCCCATTTAGGTTTTTAAAAACCAAAAAACCCTATATACGTACTAGCAAGCCCATGCTAACATTGATTGTGTTTTTCTTGTTTGAATATATAATCTCTCTGTTTTTATAATAATATCTAGGTAATGGTATTTGCGTTACTCACATTACGAAGCTCTAAGAAAGTGAAAGCTTTGTGCTAATTTCTTGGGTTTCTCTGTAATGAACAATCTTGCCATCGGTTCCAACTGTGTGGCTCAAACTCAATTGCAAATTAGGCAATTGTTGCTCGTCTTTCTGCAGTTTCTCTTGATTCAACTGCAAAACAAATTAAATACATTTATGCATGAGAGGTAAAGAAAGAACAAATATATAGATCAATTACATAGTTGTTACCTCCTACTTTGTTAAACCCTAATGTTACCTTAATCCGAAACGGCGGATCAAATTGTAGCTTTAAACTGTTGGAATAGTTGCGAGGTTCATTAGAGTTCTTGGATAGATATTCTCCGAATCCGATACTTGTTTTGTTCCCAACTGGCTGAAAAGCTTCTGACCCAATTTTAGCAGAAATATTGGCAGGTAACCTTTTGAACTTCGATTGTTGATTACTCATAATTTCCAAAGGAGGCCATCTTTTCTCTTCAAGAAATTGACTTGCTCTCATGGGTGCAACTCTTACGGTTGTATCCTTTAGTTGAATTTGGTTTGAACCTATTGGAACTCCAAAAGGTTGGTGATTGAAGTACCAATGCTGGTGCCTAGAGAGAGAGAGAGAGAGAGAGAGTTATAATTTACACACAAGGTTTACTATAAAATAATGTAGTTGGTCTTCCTTTCTGTAGAATCGTGGAATATACAAGAGGAACGATATCAATATGCAAGAACTATGATTTGTATATCTCAATCACCTTTTGTTAACAGTTATATCTTACACTCCTTGAAAACGCGTCTCTTTGTACTCTTTCTTTATGTCTTAGTTAGATTATTGATTTGATTAAAGAGTGCAGTCAAAGTGTAAACATAAGCGATTTAAGAGGCTTATCCTTTCAATATATTTGGTCAAACTAAAGTTATTTTAAATGTTTGCGTGGTTACCTCGAATGAGTGGTGTTTGCATGGGAACGTGATTGGGAGAAGGAGGGCTGCAAGAGACTTTGGAAATGACTATGCTCGTTGAAATTACTTGCAAGAATAATCCCACCATTCCCCATCTTCAAATGCTGTTGAGGACTCATAGACTGATGGAGTATCTGAGATCTACGACCTACTTCTTGGGTCGACCTGTACGTTTGGCTTAGAACTGTAAAGTAAATATAGACTGAATTAATTGTCATGTTCAAGATATATGCCTAAGATAATGAAACCCTAACCCTAAATTTCCGCGTCACTTTGCTTAACCAATAGCTATTTTTTCTCCTTTCATTTATTTAATTAGTCTGCTACTTTCATCAATTAAATATCAATGGGCATTATGTATTCCTGTCCCCCATCCCCCAAGTGGAATACTGGAATTTATGCTTAAGAATGGCTGAAACGATACATATCACTTTTACTCACTGATATACCAGAGAACTATGCGATTAACGTACATTAGTTGTTCCAAAAGTTTTTTAGAAGCGTGCATAGAGTAATAAATGTTTAAAATTAATGACTGTAATTTATACATTTCCTATAATTTTTTCTTGCTATGATACTTTTGCTCTCTATATTTCTCTCATTCGATCCGCAAACAAAATAAAATAATATAATTAACAATTATCCATCAAAGTACAAGAGTTACAAATTAAAAATATTACAAATTTTTAAAACAAAAAAAATTCTTTATATACTTAAAGAAATAGGTTTTTTTTAGCGAAAGAACCTTAATTATGTTTCTTTCTTTGAGTGGGTGAAAGAACCTTTGTTTTGTTTGAAAGATCTGTAATGTGTTTCTAACTTTTGTATTTAGGTGGATATCCCTGGTATCCATATAATTCATTTTTATTCGTTGGATGATATTAAAAAAAGATAACTCTATCAGGAATGCATGATATTTTGCATGTAGAGAGATTATTTATAAATTTCATAAGAAATTTAGGATTCGTTATTAGAAAATCTATCCCATCCCCCTTCCCACGTCCCTTGTTCCTCTTTAAGTTAGTAAAACAAATTAAAGTATCATTGTGTGTATGTATTCATTAACATTACAAATTAACCATAAGGACTTAGGATAGTACTTGTACCTTGTCCAGCCTCGTCAAGTTTCTTGCTTCGATACATCTGAAATGAAAGTGAATATTGATTGATTATATAGCGAAAAAGTGTTTGAGTGTATAACTTAATTTAACACTGTTTTAATAATAATTTATCACTGAAAAATGTATATAATAAGTACCACATTCAATAAGGTTAATTATTTTTATAAATTAAATACTTATTAAAAAAATTAATACATTCCTGTAAGCATTTCTTTAGTTTATAATATAAACTTTACTGTGAACCTTATAAAAAAAAACTTTAAAAAATTATAAAAGAACCATATATCTTGCATAAGTGCTTGAATAACAAAATAAGTTTGAAAAAACTCTTTCAAACGCTTATTAAATCGTTTGGAATGCACTAATTAATACTGAGGGGAGATTAGTTATGCAAATTATTATACGCGCAAAAATGCACTCTAGGGAAAAATTTAATTCAGAGAGTATTCATCTCAAACCTCAATTTGTACTACCTGCAAGTGACTCTTGACATGAGCAATGCTGAGTCCTCTCACATTCATTAGTTGAAGCACCAACTTGGGTGTTGCTCCTGCACCAAGTAATGCACAAAGTTCAACCAAACGTTTTAACTTTTCTCTATTATTACGAGAGATCAGCCTTTATTTCACCTACAACAATTCAGCATTTCTGATAAATACTAATTGGTAATGCTTCGGTAGATATACAAATAATACTTACTCTCTTGACCACCAAGTCTTTCAACAGCATGAACAAATGAAAGATGGAGCTCAGGAGTCCACCTAAGCCGAGGCATCTTTGACCTAACATATTGTCTTACTGTGCCTCTTCTCTCATTTCCTTCTCTTGATGTACTACTATTTACTGAAATGCCCTCATCCTTTGCTTTCTCATTCTCCTCAGTTGTGAGCTCACAGGTCTCTTCTTCTGTATCATTGTTTTCTTCACTGCTAGCTTCTTCATTCAAGTCAAAGGAAGAACATTTCTGGGAACATCCCGATGATGTTTCCTCATTGTTATGAATCTCGTATCCTTCTGACATGTCTTTGCACTGGTTTTGCCTCCAAGGTCACCAGTTAACTTCTTAGTCGTTTGCAAAGTTGGAATTTTAGTTCTGAAACAAACCAAAAAAATATTTTAATGGGTAGCAAGTTAAAGTGACCTGAACAAGAATGTGTTAGGACAGGCTGTTATTTCTCTACAACAATTACTATGCTTTAAATCTTTTGAAATAGCCGCACGGAAATGCTATGAGGTGATGGTGAAGAAACAGTGAGAAGTTATGGCAAAAGACATTTATTAAATACCCCTATTATATTACATATACAATATTGTATCATAATACTGTATAAATATAAGTAGTTCGAAAGTCAGGACTTTTGTGTAAAGAATGCTACCAACTTCTCTGCTGAGAAGCGGTGAAAAAAATTCTGATGAATGTCATGTTCAGATCTACATATTTAAAGAATTTTACCTTATAAGTACCTTTTGTAAATCACCAAATTGAAGTTATGGAATATTCAAGATACATATGGAGGGGGAAAGAAATTAAATTAAGAGTTGAGGAAGAAATTCAAACATGTAAACAGGTGCAATTGTGTGTAAAGACCAATGGATTTAGCTCATTTAACTTTTGAAGAACAAGAAGAAAAAAATATCGTTTAACCACCAAAAACAGCAGATTGCATCGAATGGGTTCATCCTTCATGACAAACAGAAAGGATCAGAGAATTTGAAAGACGTAACAAGATAGTATGTTCATAAACCAATGCAACTTTTCAATTGTCAACTTACATTTATACGTTTTTATGGTTTCTTATGGGAAATGGACCTTCTGGATAAGAACAAGGTGTCAAGCACACACAGGTATCACTTGTTCTATCTTTTAGTAGATACATATATATCAGCGTATGATATATGATCACTTGATGAGGAGAGAGATTTTAATATGCACACTTGCACACTATATATATATATATTCAAAACAGTGTTAGTCGTCATACACAAACTCAACAAAAGATGCAGTTCAGAAGGAAAAGACTAGTGATTTGTGTGTGTGTGTGACAACTTGGGGAATTGATTTCAAAATCTCCGACAAGCTGTGCCCTGGAGGAACCTACGGTACCGTACGAAGAAAAAACAAAGGAACGTCCATGATCCTAAGAAAACCCAAAAGGAAGATGGAGAAGAAACTCATAAAGAAGAATTTGTTATTGATATCATTAATTATATATAGTTGCTCAAAAGATAAACAAATATAGCAAAAGCATAGAAAACTACATAATATTTTAGGTGTTTCTCCAATTTTTTTCCCCAAAATAGTAATACTAACCATTTAAGATGATGATGTGTTTTTTCTCTTCCGAGTCTAATGATCACGTGTTGTGTGCAACTGCATATCCAAACATGTCTTCAATCAGTCATATCTGAAAAGCTCCATCATCTAGCTAAAAAAGGAACGATTCACAAACAGATTAAACTGGATTGGATCATGTTGTTCTTTGATGGGTAGAGGGTATGACAGAAAGGGATGGAAGAGAGGGGATATAATTTGATGCCTGGCTTTGAGGATGTCTTTGTGGTATATCATCCATTCAGCAGCAGAATTAATTAAGAGTCATCAAATTCAAGAAGGTAGAAAAACTATTTTTGTTTCCAAAGAAAAAAGAAAAAATCGAGAAAAACAAAATTCGGACAGGCTACTTGTTCTCTTTAAATTGTAATAAACCTACATAATGGATACAGATGCGGCTGGTCCCTTTTGTACTGTTGGAAATCATGTGACAACTACCACCCTTTTCTCTCTCTCTTCTTTGACAGTTGTTAAAATCTACCTCTCTTTCTATCTCTCTCTTGGGTGCTCGTGATTATCTTAATTGTTTGACCTCTGCTAGAGACCTTGCTTTGTTTGTCTGAAATATTTTGTCAAATATTCACCATGAAAGCTATATAACCTCAATTTAGGTGCAAGTATATTGTGGGGGCCCAAACTTTCGTCAACATTTCAATTTTTTCTTCTCACCTAAACTGAGACTTTTTTTCCTACTTCAGCACCACTGTTTTATATTTTACTTTATTTTTCAAATAATAACACATGTTTCCACAGCCTCCTTCCCATGTATGTGTAACTATGACGTCTGATTTTTGGATTCTTTTGAGAGTGTTGGCAAATGGACAACCTAAATAATGCAGTAATGTGAGGAGTGTGTAGAATTTTAAAATAGTCAATTTTGATGGGAAATGTGCAGAAACAAGGACGTGTAAAATTTAGTTTTTGAGGCACTTTCAACATCAACCATTGGCAATATAATATCATGGATGCACACTTCACAAATTGTATATAACTTTTCTAGTGCATGAGCTATATAACTGGAATCTTGACTACAGCTTGTAGACTTGCATGCACGGGGAGGGAACAGGAGACCATATTAGAGAATTATCAATTGTTGCATGCATCCAATAATGAAGAAAATAATTATATAGTCCAAGCATTATTGGTCAAATGCCTTGCAATATATAATTTAGTATTGGCTAGTTAATTGCAACATATTTAACTCGACTTAAATTAAGAAAAGTATTCACTTATTTTTCATTAATTCCCTCAAGCAATTAAGACCAATGCCAATTCATCCATTAAATCACCATCGTTTATACAGAACCTGTACACATATATACTCTGTAGAAAAGATGTTGCTTCTGTGTGATGCTGGCTTTTTACCCCTTAGCATAATTGTTTATGCACGGTAGGTTCACACGGATAACTGATAACTTATTTGTTTTAAAGTTATAAAATTAAATAATAAATCATCTCTTCTCTCTTAAATAGAAATAAGATAAGATGCATGCACTAAAAATATGTACTAAAAAAATAAACACGCGATTATTTTTCTAAAATAAGTTAAATTAAACATGCATTAATCATTTGTGCAAAAAGTATAATTTCTTTTTTTTTTAACCTATCTTTGTTGTTGTTGTACATAGAATGAATAATAGGAAGGAGAGGAATAGGATTCGTTAGCAAGATGTTTGACAATTGGACTAACTTTCTTCTAAAAGCAATCTAGAAGAGGGAGGGGGAAGTTGAATTTTCATCAACTTTATTGACTTCTCATGCACCCAACCCTTCAACTTTGTTACATACCCTCAACCTTATATATGGTTTAATCTATCATTGTCTTTGTCAATCCCAGATTTCATACCACTGCTTCATACAGCTGCAGATTCTTTTGTTAAAAGGTCAAAAATGTTAAAAAGCTTCAGAAAGGACACAACCCATCATAACAACTGAATAGTAAACATTGCCCTTTTTTGTTTGTCTATCGTTTGACATCCATATTTGACCCTAGCTACAACGTATATCGTTTGATTTAGATGAGTAGATACATATTATGTTACCTAAGTTCAGTGCATATGATCAAACTGAGGGAAAGGTTCATCCAAGCTAGGTAATTGAAAATGGGGATGGTGGATCTATATATCTCAAGGATTTAACTTCTCTTAAAATACACACACAGAAAAAAGTAAAATGACAAAACAAAGTTTTATTTATTATTAATTTAAATTAAAATATAATAAATATAATAAACTTTAAATCAATGATAGACATACATATTTTCACTTTTTTTTTTACTTTACATATTTTTTTCATTTTAAAAGAGTCAAATTCATGTTGAAAAATATATATAAGAAAAATGAACAAAGAAAACTGGTCCCTCGTATAACATGTGCTGATCATAGGGGGCACACATATTGATAATTTTTCCCTAAGGTTTTTAACTTTTAAAGGCTCCCTACGTAAGAGATTTGGATGTTTTTCTCTATATGATCGACAAAGAGGACCAACTCCGATCCTCATAGATTTTAGCACAGCAATTGGAATCAGCTCTTGAATCTATTAGATTATGTTGCATGACACCAAACTCTATCAAATTGCTCAATCGTTCTGCGTCGCAACTTGCAAGTGCATATTTTTGCTAATTAAGGATGAGACTTTAGTGTAAGAGATAAAAGTAAGGTTTTGGCAGAGAGAAAATAAAGGGAGGAAAATAGAAAAGAGGAGTTATAAATTATAATTGTGGAGATTATAAGAAACTGAAAAAATACATGGTTGGTAATTTTGTTCTCTCATGTGCTTGAGAGTTGACATTCCACGTTATATTAATCTCCTATATAAGAATCTTTCAAAGAATTAGGCGTCTTTTCTATTATTATTTCATGGATGAAGACGTCGAACCTAGCACTACTGACATACATCAGCTATCTACACCTAAGATTAAGCATTTTTATTAATTGGTCTGATTACAGCTTAAACATAATTAATATCAATGTGTGTACTATGCAAAGTGTTATCTTCTTTGTCCTTCATTATTGTTGTAGAAATATGTGTTTTTGATTAATTAAAAAAGAAAGAAAGAAAAGGAAAGGAAATTTTGAAACTAGATATTTTGACATTATCATATTAAAAGTGAGAGACATCATTGAGATAATCAAAATTGACGGAATAGTTTAATTTCTACTCTTTGGACGTATGTATAGAATTAATATGGGAAGGAATGAATGTATGACCAAAATAATATCATTATTATAATTACTGCTAGTTTCGAATGATTTAAAATTTACAAATAACAATTATATTTTTGACAAGTTAGCTCTCAACAAAAAAAGGTTTATTAAATTATTATTTTTCCGAAGAATTCTTGGCGATTAAATAGATCAAACTATAGAGTTGTTGAGAAGTAACTATAGTCACGGTTGCCCGTCAATAATGCTTTAGATTCAAGCACCGGGGACTACGTATATAAAATAGATACATGAAAGGGTTTTGCTCTTTTAACGTTAGTTAGGTGCACTATATATAGTTAATTAAAATATTAATAGTTGAAATTTTAATAAATTTAATTCATATACGTATAAAATAAAATATAATTATTAAAATCTTTATCATTAATTTTTCAACCAGTAGTCATGTTTTCACTATAAAAAGTAGTGTGGTAACCAAACTGTTGTACACCTTTAAAAAGAATATGAAGGTGCCGCTTCTCCTTCTCGCTCAAACGTTTTAAAAACTATGAAATCCATTAAATTTAAAATTAGTCATACAACATATTTTTAATTATGTATTTTATTTAATCTAATAATACTTATGCAGTGTAAAAAAAATTACTAATTTCTTATAATTATGCTATATATTTTATTTTTATTTTCTATTATACATACATACATATATATATATATATATATATATATATATATATATATATATGTGTGTGTGTGTGTGTGTGTGTGTGTGTGTGTGTTTCAATTTTTTAAGAATTTGTTTTTGTCATTAACTTGTGTTAGAAAATTGTTGACTTGACTATTCAATTAAACCCTACCACGTATATCAATTCATTATATACATGTTAAAAAAAGTCACACAAAACAGTGACTGGGGAATCTGAAAATAATCTTTTATATAATTTCATGATGAAAATTCTAATTTGCACTATTAGTGAGTGATTTATTTAACACATACACTAAATTGGTACACTTGACAAAGGTTCGTTGAATATCTATTAATCAAGTTAGCAACTATCTAAGGACAAGTCAAGAGTAAAGCCCAAAAATCGTAATTCGAAAAAATTGGAAATGAAAAAAAAAATATACAAAGGCTTAAAACAAAACTCATTATATTTATATAAATTAATATTATATTTAAATATTATGCACTATTTAATTTAAATGAAAGAAAAGAATGAGAGAAATTTTAATGGAGAAGAAAGAAAGAAAGAGAAGAGAAAGGATTTTAATAGATGAGAAAAATATCTTATTTGGTTGGAGAGATGAGATAAAAAAAATGAATTTATTATTACGTAATTAGAATAATTAATATACTTAATAATTAATGGATAACTTGTCTAATTAATTTTAAAAAAATTATCCTTCAAATCTCTATATTTTTTAACAGTAACTAAAGATGAACTATGAGAAATTTTAGTAGATTTTGACGCTCACTTCTTCTCTTCAAAAGGTTCAAACATTAAAAAATTATCCAAAAAAAAAATTCTTCCCTTCTTCATTTTCCTTTGACCAAAATCGAAATAAAAAAAAAAGTTTGACATAAAAGACAAGTGAAATTGCTGCCATAGAAGATTTGAAAACATTTCGATGGCCAAATAACTTTGTTTGAATATAGTCAATCAATTATTCAATCAAATAATTAATCGCCGTTGGATGCTTTTATCAATGTTAGAAAAAGAAGCATATACACATGTAGAAAAATATACTTTTAGAATTTAAAAAAGCAATACAAAGTTTCATTCTCTTCGGTTTCTCTATTAATATAAACATAAACAGCAAATAATAAAATAACATTATAGTAATAAAATTCACTTTAATAATTTTGTACATAAAAAATGATTAGTTTTTGAGCATCAAATTTAAACAGCGAAGAAGAAACTTGCATGGATCCAATCCCATGTTAAAAGGATTATCAAAAACTAATCAATATATGTTATTAAACACCTTCGATCGCAATGCAATTTTAATGGAAATAATGAGTGGGCTATAACTTCAAAAGCCCATCTACGCCTCTGACCGAGCCATCGCCATAGTAAATGTCTCACTACTCTTAACAAAAGAAAATATGTCACTACCAGCGAAGATCCGTTTAGATATACTATTTTTTTTATAAAAATAATGACATACAGCTTCTTTAATTACTTATTCAATAATTTTTTTTTTAAATGATAGCTTATATAATGAATTTATCAATGAAACTTATTGAAATATGCTGAAAACAACTTATAAAAATTACTAATTTTTTCATAAGTTGTTTTTTAAACTCTTCGCCTTAAATTATTTGAAATTTGTAAGTAGAGAGTCTCTACAAGTTATTATAAACTCCTGGCTAAGTTTTTGGCATAACTTAAACTTGTAACTAAGACAAACTATCTTCTTTTATTTTCATTTATCTAAGAAAAATGTGCAAATGAAAGTTTCTCCATGATTTGACCAAGGCAGCAATGCTACCCAATATACAATGTAAGGAAGTGAAAATGAAGAAGGCATAAAGAGAGGGAAAAATATTAGGTTAAATTATAAATTTAGTTTTTATAGTTGATAGTCATTTATAAGTTAGTCTTTATTTTTTTTAAAAAAAATTAATTTTTATACAACTGTTTTATTATTTTTTTGTTTCTATCATAAATGTTATAACAAAAACGATGACAACCAAAATGTAGTAAAAAAAAAAAACTAAATATGCTTCAAATTTTTTGTTATGGATAAAATATCTGCTTAACAGAGAAAGCACAATAAAGATGAATGTAGTAAAAAAAACCTCAGAAAAGTTAAGAATTCTCTCGTGTAATAAAGGATCTTCTAAAATTTTAAGTAATGGTATAATTCATTTCTCAAATATAGTAAATATTTTATTTCTTATAAAAAAAAGGTATACTTTGCAAAAATTCTATAAAAATTGATGTCATATAAAAAAAAATACATTATATATAAATTGAGATAATTACATATTAAAAAATATTAACATTAATATTTTATTTATTTTTCTAAATATAAGATAAAATGTAAAAATGTAGAATTAAGTAAATTTTTTATTAGTAAAAATTAAGTACATTTTGAAGATAAAACTTAATAATAATATAGATCTTTTCGCCACTTATTTCAGTGAATTATATTCTTAAAAATTATAAATAGTTAAGATACGCATTTTATATTTATAATTTGACTCATTTATAAACTAGTCTCTATGCTTAAAAAAAAACTTATATTTTAGTTATTACACAAGTATTTTATTATATTTTAATTATTTTTAAGAATTATAAATAGTTAAGATACATATTTAATATTTATAATTTGACACATTTATGAATTAGTCTTTATGCTTAAAAAAAAACTTATATTTTAGTCATTACACAAGTATTTTATTATGTTTTAATTTCTCCGTTATTAACGGTATTATATCGATAGAGACTAAAGCATAACAAATCATTTATATAGACACTAAAAAGCAAGTTTTTTTTAAAAAATAAAATAAAATGGCTAATTTGTAAATGAGAGTCAATTTTAGTGCTAAAATTTAACCTAAAAATTAACTCAATCTTATCAATGACAACAATAGATATGATATGGGAGGGTGGGAATGAGAATATTGGTGGTATCCTCGCATATCAATTCGTAGTAATAATAAGGCAAAACAGCTTAAAATGAACCACAAGGATTCCATAACTATGTTCTGTCCATGATGACTACATGTTGATGGATGCACCAGCGTAGTCCATGCAAAGGAGTGAGTCTAGGCAATGCACTAAGAAAGTCATAATTCATGCCTAAAAATGGTAAGTTAGATCAATGATATATTGGCATAACGAACATTAACTGCAAAATCACTCATTGTAGTATGTACAGTTAACAACCATAAAAAGCAGATGGTTAATTATTCCCAAGATGTACCATTTGTAATTATATTCCCATCATATTTTAGCTTCTAGTCAAGCCTGACTAATGTTATATAAATACAAATTAGTTATATCCTTCATCGTCTTATAGTAGGGCCTCTGTAATACCCTCTCTTAACCACTAAGCTTTCAGGCGGTTGAATCTCTTCTAACCAGGTCATTTCAGATGGTTTCACCCCATATAGCTGATCAAGCTCAACCACTTTAACAACAGAAAATGTAAGGAAAAAACATGCTTCAGAAATCAGTGTAAGATTTTAAAAAAATAGAAAAAAGGATAGTAGAAGGAAGAGAAGTACCAGGGAGATCTTTCCTAGGTGACTTCCTGAAATAACAGCAGTGTCTTCCATCTTTTGATGAGTAAGGAGGGGAAAGAATGTCAAACAGAGCACAAGGTGTTAAGGCTTTAAAGCAATGAATGTTGCCACCTTTATTTGGATAAAGAATTGTTGTGTTACAAGGTGCACTCATCTGACAATCTTTCACAAGTTTTGCTGGTCTTGCTGCAAAAGAAATTCTTGAATTTCATTTCTTGTTTAGCAGATACTTCGGAATGGGAATCAAGAAAAAAAACCTGTATTGTTTCTAGAAATTACCCATCAAACCATATGATGATCAGCAGCAAACTAAGCAACTATATTAAATTAGCATGTATCAATATGGAAATGCATAATCCTCTAATTTCTGAAATAAGTTGATGTGCTTAGAAATCATTTCATGTCCATAAAATGACTCTCAATCACAGTATTCTCATAAAAACCCCAAAATAACATCCACTACTGAAACTGTGGAATAGATTCAAACACCATAAAATATCGTCAAAGGACTTTATTGGACCATACATCCCCCCTTGGGCAAGGACCAGGTTTCATCACTCTCAACTCAACTGTCTGAGCACGTAACCAAGCTATGATGAAAACACACCATGCCTATCTACCTGACTAGGGGCGTCACAACTTATAAAAGCACTTCAAGGGTTTTGTCCCAAGTATGCTCACTTTTCTGCCTACATCTGTATCCCTATTTTTGCTCTTAGCCAAACTTGAGCTTCAAAATCTTTTTACACTACACTTGCTCGGTTCCCATTCTGACCAGCAAACCATTGTCACCGATCAGCATGAAGCTCTCCAACCTCATCCAAAAGTCTCAATTTCCAAAGCCAAAATCAACCCCATCAAAGTATTAAACAAAATAAAATATGTATATATTAGAAACAAAATTGGTGACTGAAATTTTTATAGTCCACTCAAATTGTAGCACATGATGTCTCCTAATAGATACCAATGTCAAGGAAAAATACAGGGCAGATAATCAGCAATAGTATTGATGACAAGATGAGCCATGTATTGGCATATAAAAAAGATAAGGAGATAGAGACAAGAAAGTATAAAAATACCAAGTGAACTAAAGGCAAACTGCAGCTATCTCCAACAGTTAGTCTGGTGGAGACATGTCTCCATTATTGACATTAGACTTGAGAAATTATCATCCTTTGAGAATGACAATGTCTGGGTAAACTATTTTCACCCTTATCCATTCACAAAGATTAGATAGCTTTGACAGTTTCACTCCATTAGATTTCAGAAAAAGATGAACTAAATTTTGTTCTACCTACCGCTTGCTCAAGTGCAATGCCAGGCTCTTAATCAATTTTCTTTAATTCACAATAAAACATATGTTTTTCTGTCACAAGTCATCTGAATGGTAAAAAGGACAAACATTATCAAAAAGCAACCAATAAAGATGTCATTGAGAGTGAATGAAGTCAAGTTATACAGAGAAGTACAATGATTTTGTACTTTCTAAGGAATTGTGAGGGATCTGGACGGGGTTGGAAAGCTTAATGATAAATGGACACCTATAATAACTTGAGTTTAAAACATGATAAATGGAAAAGCCAAAATCTTTTTCTGTTCAAAACTAAATCTCAGTTTAAGAATCATCAATTTAAGATATCCAAGAACAGTTGTACTGCATAAAAGACCGAAGCATATGTAAATACAATACGGCGCATCACCTTGAGATAGATCATATGACTCGGGTAAATCCAGCCAATCATATGATCTTACATGTAGTGAACCATAAAGAAGCTTGCTTAAAACAGTCATTCCTGGATGATTATGAAGTGGAATAATGGAACCAGGAGGCATACAGAAGATTCCCATCTGCCAAAAAAAAGACTCCAGCCTTATGAATTCAACTTCCACATCTAAAATTCAAGGTGAAGGAGTCCAAATAGAGTAATAAATAGATTGTAACAAACTGCAGAAAGAATCAAAATGCTTACAGAGAATTTGTCACATTCATGCAAGTGTATGTACTTAATAGGGAGTGGATACTGATGATTTCCATTACGCCCCTTTTTGCCATTAGTACCATTCAAAGAACCTTTCCATCCCCGAGCCAATTGCGCCTCCTGTTCGAGACCCACATTAGAAGGCTTCAGCTCATCTGGCATGGCAGTGCAATTAACAAAACGGTTAACACAAGGATACACCCTTCACTACGGAGTAACAGGCATCTCAAATCAAGCATTACATTATACAGTGCACGGGCAATATCAAAGACTATAATGGAACATTTATCAATGTATCAAATACTATTGTAGAACATTTATCAAGGGTAGATAATTGTACAAGTTTAAGAAACTGATCAAATTCTACCTAAAAGGGTTCGAACTTTTTCCAGAGCTTCTTCTGATATAGGTCCATCAGGAGACAAGGATGTCATGCAATTATCATATAATTGCTGAACAATTGGCATTATGTAGCTACCAACCAACACTTCTTAACCAATCTGAATATAAAGTAGCTGCTGAATTTTCAGAATCCAATGAGCTAAGAAGACTTGGATGTAAAATTTGGATCCAAAGTGGCACTTGGGTCACCTAACTTTTAAATGTCCGAAAAGTAAAAGGAACAGCTTCTATTCTACGCAACAATACATTTGCGTAATCCATCAACTCAACTCCATTCCTGAGCACCTTGACAAGGGAATATTTACCACAAAAATCAGAATAAAATGAGTTCAAACCACATCACTCTCAGTGGCATTAGAAGTTCTATTCGTTAGAAACATCAAAAGAAGTGATCTTTGGAATTAAAAACAAAAGAAGCAAACTTTTCCTCCCTGATTCTTTATGCCCCAAGTTTAGTTTCATGGGTAGAAAGTAGATATTAGAAACTATATTGCATTGAAAATATGCAATGAAGTGGAAGGGGAAAAAATGGTAGAGAAAACACAAAAGCCAATTTAGAATGACGGGTTTGGTGAAAAAATAGAGATCAAAGAGGAAGCTTAGAATCAGTGTCATACATGAAACGTCTCTGCCTCAGACTCACGACAACATCGAGGTGGGCACTGAGGAGGGACCAGAGTAGAACAGAACAAAACAGAGCAAAGCAAAGCAGACAGCAAAAGACACTTGCACAAAACCAGGTGTCCCTTTTAGAATACCACCAACTATGTCTAGATGGTTTTTCAAGCGAAGAGAAAAGGAAATTTAGAATTATTGTTATTATATCCTCTAATCTCTAATGATATCCTTTTATTCATTGTTAAATATAATTTTATAAAAATAAGGATTAAATAAAAAAATTATATCTAATATTTTAAAATTAAAAAAATACATAAAAATTGTTTTTTAAATAAATTAGGTTTATTAAAATAAAAGTTTTTAAAGATATTGATTAAGATTTTAATAAATAATACGTTTTATAAAAAAAAATTGAGATTAAAGTGTATTAAAATTTGAAAATAAAAGTAAGATATATTAATAATGCTTTTATAAGATTTTATTCGTAATATTTTAACACGTATTTAAAATACTCTTCTTAGCATTTTCTACAAAAGATGTGACAAAAATAGTACTTTACTTTTATTTTTTATTTTAATTTAGTATGTTAATCTTATATTTTATTTTTATTTTTTATAATAAAAAAATTAAAATGAAAAATAATATTAAAAGTTAAATTACTATCTTTATAAGAAAAACAGTTTAGAAGAATGTAGAATATTTTTATGTCGGTTTCTTATTTTAAGATTTGACTCCCTCCTTCATCAATGTAGTTAAGATAATTTTTTTTTTGCCCGTCTTTGATTCTCTAATTAAGAAGGTTAGTAATATACTATTTAATATGTATTTTTAATATAAGTTTTCATTAATAAAATGTTTTGAAGATAAAAAAATATTTGATTCTCATTCTATTTTTAACAATTTTTTTTATAATTATGAATTTTAATAAATCTCATCTAAAGACGAAAGAAATATATTAAAAAAATTATTAACCACTGTTCCTAACTATTTAATAAATTAATAAATAATGTTTTATTAAAAATAATATCAAATAAATTATTTTTATTAATAAAAATTTTATTTATTAATTTTAAAACATAATAATTGTTGTAAGAATATATTTTAAAAGAACATATTATCGGCACTCCTTTCCTTTAACAGAATCATAAACATATTACTTGTTAAGAACAAGAGAATCTCAATTCCTTATCTTCATATCATTACTTAATTTAAAAATAAACAAATAACGTTTAAATAAAAGTTCTAGTCAATTTTTCATTCCTTTTCCTTTACTTTACCACTTCATGAATATCACCCAAACATAACCAAACGCAGTGCCTAAGCCACCACACCAAAGTAAGTTGTCAATTTTTTTACGTGACATTGGACCTTTCTTTTTATTTCCTTTTAGTCATTGGTAAATTTTAACTTCTGGATTGATGGTTGGCACGTTAACATTTTAAGAAAAGGATATAAACAATGGATGTTAATAACTTTAATATTTGATTTCTGTTATGTATTTTATTTTATTTTTTTCATTTTCTAATAAGATTATTTGATATGTTTGTACTCTTTAATTGTATAAATGTATTCAAACAGATTTTTTTTTAGTCACAAAATGCTTTTAACGATTGACTTTCATATTATTTTTCATGAAAGCTTTAAAATATCATAAAATACTATGTCGTGGAAGGGGTCAAATGATCTGAAATGCGTTCCTTTTGTCAAGAAATCAGATGAAAATCATTAAAAAAAAAATTGTAATACAAGTACATAAATTCACTTAACTTGCATCCCTTTAACATGAAGAATGAAGGTTTATTTTATTTTCAAATGGATTGGCTGAAAATTAAAAGTTAAAAAGCTAGTTAAAAGTTAAGAATTAGAAGTCTAAAGATCAAAGTTGAAAGAATAGCTTATTAAATTTAAAATATTAATTAATTGTTCAACTAGTTAATAAATATAAAATGACAAATTAAGATATTAGTAATTTTTCATCTAGAATTTAAAATTTAATAATTATATATTCCTAAAGAATTATAAAATCTTAATTTTACTTCTATTTAAAATTATTTTTACTAAATAAAATGAAACAAAAAGTTGAAGGTAAAAGAGATAATGATAGTAAGGTTTTTAAAGTTAAAAAGGTAAAAGTATGAACTATTAAAAATCAACAGGGACAAAAAAAATATTTATTTTTAACTATAATTAAAAGTAACTTTTAAAAAACACTAATGGAAATAGTGTCATGAAAATTCTTTTGTTTTAGAATGATAGTTTTTAAGGCTTTTGAAAATTTTAATAAATTGAAGTATGGGTTATATTAATTAACCATAATCATATTTTACTAAGTCATTTTCTTTCTTTATTAATATTATCCTTTATTTCAATTGATGGAAAATCAAGAAATACAGATACAGTTGTAAAAAGTATATTTTACTTCAAAATGATAACTAACTTTAAAAAAGAAATTAAACAGAAGTAATATATTATATAACTCAAAAATTCTGTTTGGATACATAATAATAATAATAATAATAATAATAATAATAATAATAATAATGCAAAAAGAATTGTCGCATTTTACAGTAAACTTACTATAAAAGCAAAATTAACATTTGTCACATAAGTTACATTATATCAAAGCTGGTTTGAAGAACTGCTTAAGATTAAATGTAATAATTGATAGCCTAAACGAGTTAGAAATGTTTAAATTACTCTGATATTATTCCACTTTAATTTTTATTAATTAGTGAGCTTATTTAGGTTAGTATATTTTGAAAAAAAAAAAAAACTTTACACTTTTTTAAAAATTGATTATTTATAAATTAAAAAATAACAATGTAGTGAGAAAGGTTCAGTGTGCCATTAGATTCTTGTCACTGTGCAGTATAAAGAAAAAAAAAATGATTGCCATTGTGTTAGGTTTTGGCATTTTGGTTCATGAACTGAACATGTCTGTGCCATTGTATTTAGCAGGTTCATGAACTTAACCGAAATAAGCACAAGGACTAATGTACTGGGCCGCAATTATGAGGAGAGGAATGTACCACTAATTCTCAAGATTAGTTTGAAATGTCAAGACAAGTCTACCAAGATTTTTTTGTTCACTAATACATCTTTTGATTTTCTATTGTTTTTCTTAATTAATAAGTTTAAGGAAGTATCACCCAGGGATGGGGATATCTATAATTTGAATTATAAATTTTATTTTAAGAATGTCTATAAGAACAATAAACCTTAATAACATAATTACATTTAAATTATTAAAATTTAAAATCAATTGGTGATCACATCATTGTTGAAAAATATCATCCATATCTACCTTTCAATTTAACCATTCAAATAAAATTTAATAATTCAAAATATTTTGTAATAATTAATATCATCCACTTTATTTTTCATTGCACGTGGTTTTGAAGAAATGGCAAAAATAAGAGCACTCTTTGTTTTGGGCACAATTAACTTTTGTATATGTTATAGTAATTTAATGATTTATAGGCAACATCAAAGATTTCATGATCTAATGCTTGGAAATACATCTCATTTTATTGACATCATCTCGTCGTGTATCCAATGGTCGATGAAATTATTGAAAGTTCTAATATTTTAGAATATAGATCTTTGAGCAGTTCTCACCAAGTGCATCATCTCCCATGAATACCATATCCAAAATCACCATGGTCATGGTGTCCCTTAGTGTCATTGCCTTCATCCACAATGAGATAAAGAATGCTCCGAGAACATGTTCCGTCGCGGCAAGTCTTGCCTCGTTGGCAAATACTACCTAGAGATGTATACTCAACAACATTTCGTTAACATCTCTTGGAAGAGGAACAAATAAAAGACATTTGAACAAATTTAGGGATACCAAAAAAAAATAAAAAATGAGGAGGACTAAAATAAAAGATGCAGGTAAATATATTAAATTATAAACTAAAATATCCTCTTATATGTATAATAATTGAGTATTTTGTTAATATAAATTTTATAATAAATAAGAATGTAAAAAAAATTTAACAATTAATGCATCTAATTTTTTTTTATAATTAGACAAAAAATATTAATAGTTATTTCTCATGACTGTAAATAGAATAAATATTGTAATTATTAATCATAAATATTATTTTATATTATATTTTAATTCAAAATTTATGAAAATTTTAAATTAAAATTAATATTAAACTAAAAATGTAACATTTTTGGCCTTCAATTATATTAAAACAACATTATTTACATTTAAAAATGCATTTTTTTGGTATCTATGATCTTGATCTCAAGGTGAAGAATATTCTAAAGGCTTCAAGGTTAAAAATTTTGAAATATAGGTGTATATATATTTTTTATCTGAGGTCCTAAAGTATAGGGTTGTTCAAGAACTAATTAAAATTGAACTAAACTCCTGAATTGAATCAAACTATTTGTTAAAAAATTAAACTGAATTGAAGAAATCAAACCAAAACTAAATATATTATATAGTTTAAGAATTGAATTAGTTTTTAAATAAAGTTAGATTCACTCCAACAAAACCTATTCACACTCATATAACTTTTCTCTCCTTTCCTTTAATTTTCTCTAATTTTCAGTTTGTACCAAATTATTCAATAAAACATATATGTATTATGTAACCTCTATTTTCAGTTTGTACCAAATTCACTATAATGTAATTGAGTTTGCATTAGATTTACCATTGTTTTAATGCAAAAGAATCTCATTCAAATGAGAGAATTTTCACTTCAGCTAAAATATTAGACATATTTTTTTTTTAAACTTTTTATATTTTTGCTTAAACAACAATATTTTAACTTGAGTGAAAATTAAACAGTGCTATTTTATGTGAAAATTTATTTGAATGTGTTAAACATGGACCTTCAAAACCACTCTAATCACTATATAGAAGACAAAAATTATTCTAAATGTTATGCAAACACAAAGACAAATACATAAAACTTACATA